CGATCCCGTTGACGAGATTTAGGGCCCGATGGCGCTCCTGGACCTCCGATTGGCGTCGGCCCAGCTCAGTGGACTCGGCCACCCGAAGAAAGCACTTTTCTGATAGGGTTGCGAACCGGATTGGACGAGGACCGTCGCTCACCAGGGGAACTGTTCCAGATGGCCAAATAAGCGTTGCCTATCGCTGCTAAACAGTGGCTTATCGCGCGATTGTCAGTCTCAGTGTTCCAATGACAATTGGTGGGATAGTAGTATCAATTAATGGTTATCGTCTTCAGGGGGAAAACCCCTACCTGTCATGTTTCCTGTTCCTATTCTTCTTTCTCCTCCGAGGAAAAGTTTGGCAGACTCTAATAATTTTAGTAGAATTAGTACTCTGGTCACCTGGCGGTGTTAATTAAGAAGTTCAAGTCAAACTGAAAGTGAAAATCTGCTGGCGAGTCGGCGATGACCCACAGCCAATCTGCAATCTGCAACTCTACTGTTTGCCAAAAATATATTTCGAGATCTGTGATGATCACTGGCATAAGGTTCCAAGGTTGATAGTGACTGTCCAGAAATATGGAGGAAACAGTTATATTCCTGGCAGAGATGTACTACTAGTAGGGGTTATGGCTTCAAGTTCCAGGCAGTAGAGATCCCCGCTGAACTTCAATCGACTACTAGTATAACCTTGAAATATTTTTATTTATTTGCGTACCGCGTTTGCATTCGCATTCTCTCGCTGACGATACCCAGGCCCGACCCAGCATCCACTCTAACGGTGGAATCTGGCCAATCAAGTTGGTACCGCAACAGCAGCACATCCGATGACGCGCGGGCTCAAGCCACCGTGGCACATGGGGAATTGGCGTGGGGCATGACGCATGTCAAGGCTTCCTCTGGCAGTCCAACAGTCGCACACCCCAGACTCCATAAATAAATCCTACCAACTTTGACAGGAGACCATGCGCTGATCAGCGGATTCGCCCCAACGTCATCTCCTGACGTCATTTTAATCTATCTCGACGCTGTGGCAGGCCAACCCTGGGAAACTTGCTTAGTATTCATTAAAATCGTCGTCCGACCCCTCTCGCAGAGAGAGAGAACTAGAAGAAACCAACTGCACTCACGGTGTCATCTCGATTGTTTCAAACGGTGAGTTTTCTTGCTCGCACAGCTAGTATTTTGTATATCGCTACATCCACTAACGGCCAAAGATTGCCCGGCTATTTATAGTATAGAGCAGGCACACACACGCACTCTCTCTTTCTTCTACTACCCCTCATCTCCCTATCGTCAAAATGCCAGGGATCCACGACCGAATCCGCGAGGATCTTTACAACAAGGAGCGTGCGCTCTGGACGGCGCTCACCTCAGCCGACCCTGCCCCGGCCGTTCGAAAGCTATGCAACGAAGACGCCAACTTGATGTTCCCCAAGATGGGAATCATTACACTCGAGGATGATGAACAGTTCAGAGATGCTTTGAAACCACCTTTTCATCGGTTCGACGGATATCAACTGGATGAAGTGCGAACTATCATCATTGATCTCATGGCCGGTGTTGTGACCTGTAAGATTCACGCGGTTAGAGGACACAAACAATATAAAGCCACATCATCGACAACATGGAGTCAAGCATCAGACGGGGAGTGGCGCATTTCATGCCACCAAGAGACCTTGGCATAATGGAAAACACATTGGGGAAACAGTTCTTTTTCAGTCCTGTATGAATCTTAATTATTGAGCGTGATGATATTTGTGACGATAACATGAGACTATACGTCCCAAATTGACGCAATTCAACCTTTAATCTAGTTTATCTACTTTCCCTTTCCTAGGACAAAGTTCTTCCCGGATCACAATACAGACAGTACAATCTACCCCAATCGGTGATGCTTTATCTGCAGAACCAAGACTGAAGCGGGCTGATCCACGAAAATTTCACGATATTATGTCGAATACATCAGCTTGTAGATCTCAATAGATGCCCCCATTGGACGGAAAGGGCAAATCAATTGGCTTTTAATTCAATTAGGGAATCGCGCGGGCTACCAATAGAGACCATCGCGATTTTATGTCATGGCGGTAACCAGTACATTCTGCTTGCCGCCGGGTATAAGGACCTCGGGGTCCTGAGTGCAAGAGCAGTTCTAAGAGGTAAATATACCAGTATACATGGGATGGTTCCTCATCAGTTCATCGATTCTAGTTCCCCTCCCATACTCGAGAATTGTCTGTCTTGAAATGTTCATCTCTCAAAGAATCAGCCTAGCGCTGATGGCAGAAAGCCTTGCTTTCCTTCTCAATTACCCCTGTTTCCGATCGTATCTAAATTGAATACAAAAACATCTCTTATATTTTGCCTCATGGCTTGATCGCCGCAATTTGTTGAAGGGAGTACCAACGAGGAGACAACGCTTTCTTTCAGTCACAAACTCCGTTCAAGAGTAGCATATGTGACTGAATTTATCCAAGCTGAATGGGACAGTAATCCAGACATATCGGGTTCCTTCGACCAGGTGTCGTTGAATATGCGGAATCGGCAGTGAGTTTTGATATTAAATCATTTCAATGAGCTTCGAAACAACCCTTCTATTGCGGTCACCTTTCAAAGTTCCCACTGGAATTACTTTTGCTGCTGTCCAAAGTCCCAGAATGGCCCTTAGTGCACCTGTCCATTGGACGAGGAAACGTATAGGAATACGTCGGCCATATTGCAGTTGCAACTCTGTTGCAGTCCACGGGAGTCCTTATCGACAAAGAATTGCCCTGGTAATCGAACAAAAAATTCCCTATCATCCTGTAATCTACGCAGCCCCAATTGCTGGCATCGAGATTCTGAGCCCCTTTTCAGATGGGGTTGGGATGAGGAGGCGGCGGCACGTATGCGAAGGGTTGGACTCTCTGAAAGCTCTGGCAAGCATCGCTGGCTGATCCGACAGATTCATACTGCTAATGCAGGTAATAATATCGTGTCGGAAAAGACAATGAAGTATATATGAGGGCCACCGGCCTAAGTCTGTCTGAGTTGGACACAAGTTGGCAGCATGATGGTTCGCGGTAACTGGTGGCGGGCTTTCTCACTGGGATAGTAGAATATTACGAGATGAGCTGCACAGTAGGCTCGCTACGAGCTTCTATTTATCTTTGATAAGGGCCCTAGCGCTAATGGTCAACATCTGGGATTTATGCTATTTGCGCCCTCGCAAGGTTGCACTAGGTTTTTTGAGCTTGGGATCGTCTGTGCTCCAACGGCTCGTGCGGGGCTGAAGAGTGCCCAGGTGAGCATGTCGCACGGCAGGCTGCATCTTATATTAAACGTCTGATGCACTGTCTGGTAGTATTGGGCTAGGCATCATAAGGAAAAAAGCTCCGGGTGCATGCATCTGCCTACTTGTAGTATAGTACGAGTATACATACTAATCAGGTCCACTCGGTTAAGTTACGAGGCCAATGGAAGGGGACAGAAAATTTTGTTCCTTGTTTCAAGCTGCACGAACCCGAAATTGGCATACTAGTACGTGTAATACCCAAACTTGTACGGAATGCAAATGATAGGATATGAACTCCATAACTCTTTTGTCTGTCTCCCCCTCCCCTTATTCCTCTGCTAAATCCTGGCGCGTTATGTATCTCGAGCGAGCGTTCATAGGTTCTCGGCAAGCCAAAAAAAAAAGAGAAAAGAAAGAACTAGTCGATTTCCTGCTCTGCTAATTGACATTTCTTTCATGGAAAGGGGGGGTCTGGGGCGAGATAAAACAATAGATACATACATATACTCGTACTGCCCAATAACCTTGCAAATAAATTCGCATCGCGGGTGTTGCTCCCTTTGTTGGAGCAAATAAGTGGAACTAGTGGAACGGGGAACAGGGGGAATATCCACGCAGCGGCAGGTTACGGACCGAGAACGTTAATTAATCAGTCATTAGTACTGGCAAGCCTCGGAACAGCTCTCCATGCATTAGTGCGACCTAATACTAGTAATGATCGAGAAACTTCGGCAACTCGGAAGTCTTCCCTCCAGTCCTTTTGCTTCCTTATGCTTTATCGAGACTCCCGCTTCTGTCAAGAGAGTCGCCACCAAAAGTCAAACCAGTGCCATCTACACCCTCATCCGTAAAAAGCCAAGGGTCTGGACGAAACGAATTGGCGGTCTGATGCCAAAGATTTGTGATTTATCACTTTCTTTGCTTATTTATTTCTGACTGTCATTATCATCTGCGGAGAAACGCGAGAATCCGCGCCCTAGAATCATCCATTCAGACGGCTCCACACCGGTTCCATGGCTACGTACCCTTTTTATCTGGGAAAATGCCGAAGGATCGCCTTACCCGGCCGAGGGAACCTAGAATCCTTCCTGGCGTGATGGTTCATCTATTTACTAGTACGAGTATGTAGTTGTAGGGGCGTTGATAATTGGTCGCGGAAGTCTTCGACCCTTCCCTGCAGAAGAGATTTCTTCGACGGCGCTAAATCCCCTGCAAAGCAGAGCCCGAGTCAGCCGAGTAATCAAAGTGGATCGTGTTTTCAAGCTGACATTCCCCAATTAGCCCAGGTGATATTGTGTTCTCAAGAGAGTGGCCCAGCAATTTAAGGAATTTACGGCTTGCTACGATTTTCGCTTTTACCTCGCGATGGATACTATTCATCTGCCCCGGGATATCATTATAGTCGGTGCCGGCATTGCAGGAATCGCCTGTGCTCTCGCTCTATCCCACGAAGTTTCTCCCTATGTGCCCGACCTCAAAATAAAAATATACGAGCGACATGATATCTTATCGACATCAGGGGGGGGGCGATCAATCTCACACCTGTCGCGCAACGTCACCTTGCCCAACTCGGGGTCCTAGAGGAGCTGGACCGCATGGGCTCCGAAGGGGAGCAGAAGTTGATGCCATTTCACTTTACTCCATACGATCTGGTCGCTCAATTGGTTCAATTGGATTTGTTGACCATCACGGAAATGGTTATGGAGGATTTAAAGGTCGCCGGGTGATGCGCATTGTGCTCTCCATGGCGATGCTGACACTGGCGGAACGAACCCCGAACATCGAATTGATCTTTGGGAAAAAGGTTGTCGGAGGCGAAGAAACTGAGAGCAACGCTGTTGTTCACTTCAAAGATGGTACTAAGGCTGTCGGTGACTTGGTAATCGGCTGCGATGGAGTTCATTCTGCGGTTCGCACATCCTGGGTCGATCCTGGCAGTCCATCCGAATATACTGGTATATCGTTTTTACAGGCGACCGTGCCAACAGACAGTATTTCTTCGCGAATTCATTTCCGCTCATCGGCCCTCAACATATCGCGACATGGATCAATGCTGACCAGCTATTGCGATCGCGACCGCGAACAAATCTTCGCCGCTGCCACTGTGCAATTTAGCCAAGATGACTTGAGTTACTATCGGATGGAACCCGGGCAGACTGGGCAACGCAACATAGAATCAAGTGTGCACTTCGTCGCGAGGTCCAAGATCGTTTCTCCAAGACTGCGATACCTTGCATTCGGGAGATAGTCAACAGTGAAGCAGACTGGATGCTTTACCCTGTTCATCAAGTGCCACCAGGCGGGAGATGGTCCACAAATCGTGTGATTCTGCTGGGCGATGCAGCACATGCGGTATGGCTCATTCCAACTCTCTATTTTGTTCACATATTAATATATTTTTTCTAGATGCCCCCAAGGGACGAATCCGCCGCCTACGCGCTGGACGATGCAATTCTCTTTGCTCGTATCCTAGTCCGTTACCGGTCTGAACCACTGTCCGAAGTGTTTGATGCGTATGAGAGTATGCGCCGCGATACCATCGAAAATGCCTTCAAAGAGTCCCACCGTATGTGGGATCGCAATCGTGATATGGGTATGCTAGAGGGTCGCCTTAAGGAGTGGCTGATGCCGTTCTATTTACGCAGTAACCGTGACAAGCGCGAAGCTGCGTGGGAGTTTGACGCAGCAAAGATCACAATTCCTACACCTGCCCCTAGTGAGGATTTAGTATCTCTAAATTCATTTCTGAAGGAGCATACGGCATGAAACAAAATAAAAGAAGGAGTATTGCATCTAATTGATCGCTTACGGCGTTGGGACTACAAGGGATGGCGTGATGAGTGATTTTTCGGTCTGGTATCCTGCAATGAATTTTCTTAGTTACTAGTCATGTATGACATGACATGATTCCTTACTACTGAAATCGGGTACATAATTCTCGATCGTATGATATGTTAGGATAGCACTTCTTTCCGGAGACATGAAAATGCGTTTCATTTCTCGCTAGATACAACCTATTCAAAATATCGACCCGAGTGAAATGATCAGCCGAGCTTCATAACCCTCAACTAAAAGGACAAAGTCTGTCCAGCAGTTCCAACAACTGCGCTTTTGACCTTGCTTGAACCAAGGAGATTGTAGCTGTATGGCACGGATTTGAGTGTTCCCGCCGGCGCAGTGTTCGCGCCAGTACCAAAGTCGTTATCATTGGCCACCGCGTAACCACCATCAGTGGAATACAAGGGCTTCTTGCTTCCCGAGAAAGCATTTGACTCGACAAGCAGCTGGGCACCCTGACGAGTGTTGATTCCGTCACTCACATCCAGGAAGTAACTGTTATAGATATGGCCGGTACCAAAGCGGAAAGAGGGCGCGCGGGAGTTGATGTTGTACCAGTAGTTGTTGTTCTGAGTGATGCGCAGATGCCCCGTATCCTCGTCGCCATTGCTATCGGAGTGGCCGATCAAGGATGCCTTGTAGTGGTCATGGATGAAGGTGTTGGAAACGGTGACATAGTCCGCTGCGTGGGTAAGCTGGATAGAGTGAGTATTTCGCTTATGAATCACGGCTACTAATCGAAGCTCTTACGTCAATCAGACCATCATAATAGTCTTTGTCGTGGTCCATGTCGGATGAGACATCGCAGTGGTCAATCCAAACGTTGTTCGATTTCTCTGAATAGGGTCAGAAGGGGCAAGCCGAGGTGGTAACGGTAATAAACTTGAATGAAAGTACTCACGGACGCCAATAGCATCCCCATTGTCGGCAAGGACCTTCTGGACTCCCAGATTGCGGATAACCACATTGGAAGCTTCCTTGACCAACCTGAAATTTGTAAGTTTAAATCACCCTTTGCAATGCTGGCAGCCTCAAACTCACACTCCGAACCCGGACAGGATTGCATTCGAGTCCTTGCCGATGATACTGGTGTTGCTGCCTACACGAGCCTGATCCGCAGTCTTGGTAATCTTTCCACTGACAACGACAACCTTTTTGGAGTCCCCAGACACGGCCGCAGTGAAAGCAGCGTAGGAAGACACAGTGGTGGTGGTACCGCCAGCGCCGCCAGTGGTGCCTCCATTCTGGCTAGCATAGCCGGTAGCAGCCTAAATATCTTATTAGCCAGGGTCTTCTGGTAAATAAGAGGAGCTATAGATCAATGAGAATAGACACGCACATCATTAACGCTCGCTCGCTTGTCAAAGTTGTTGCTTGATGTCGGTACACCAAGCGCGAGTCCGGACAGACAAAGCACAGCAGCGACCAGCTTGGAAGGAGCCATTTTTGTGAAGATCTCGACTCGGTTTGATGGTAAAAATATTGTTGCAGGGTATTGAGATATAGTAGAACGATGTATGGAAATATCTAGGACTTTATAGTTCTCGCAAATAGCCCTGTGGGCCCTCCGCCAAGACACCTTTCCATTAGCCCGGGCGGACATTTCATTGAGGAAACGGACAATCTTGGCGAATCGAATATATTGTGCAAATGAATTAATGAACTAGTCTAATGGTTTGATTCTCTGACGAAGTTTGTGTCATGTTGTTCCTGTGGAGGCCGCGTCTACCTTACAGGGATACTAATGTATTTAGTTCCGCTGGGCGCCACAGCTTGGCATGAACATCTCTCCCCGCTTCTGCCACGGAGAGATGCAGCCATCATGGATATAAAATTGCAGTTGGTGGATTTGTTTGAACTGTTTCTTCAGTGGCTATGATGCGAGTTTTGCCGATGCTTTTCGCTGAAGTACTTCCACGAATAAACTTGACAGGCCATGAGGACCAGTTTGCTTAAAGTCCGCCAAGGCCATAAGGGTTTCACCTTCTCACATACCACTTGGCAGGGTCATATGAAGGGGAAAGGGGCTGTCCTCTGCTGAAACTATTTCCATCAATCCAGAGACCATTCTTTAGCGGTAATTGCACGGGTGTTTTGCCTAGCTGTTCCACCAGCCCCGGCGCCATCAATAGTGGAGCTATGCTCTGAAATGCATACAAGACATATTTCATCTTTCTTTCATGAAGATGTATATTAATTGGAAAACTGGAATGGTAGTACGAGATGGATATCACGGATCCGGAACCGGCTTGACTAGGACCGGATCAACGTGGCTAGAGCGCTAGCAGCCTTCAGGAGGTGCGTGAATGATCAAGATCAAATGAGTAATGAACTGGCTAGTACTCAATTTTTTACTGGGTCTACGAACAATTAGACAGATGTCTCAGTTGTGAAGAAAAGCCCATGTGGGCTACTGTCGAGCTGTCCTCCACGGACCACATGCCCGGTTTCTTTTTGCTAGTTTTGGAATATTTGACAAATCCAACCCGCTATCATGCTAGAATGAAGGCAGTGTAGTGTGATAATCTTGAGGGACGCCTTGAGAGGTTTATGGGATTCTATAGCAGAGGGTATATCAAGATAGCTTCAGCGGATTCTAAGTAAAGCTGGCTGCGGAGCATCATTTAATTTGGGTTCATGTTCTGGCCAGGTCTAAGTAGGTCAAATCAAAACGTTCTATCAATTTTTGAAAACTAAAAGTAGTCATTTGAAACGGGAAGAATATTGATGGGAATGGCGACATTTCTCATTAGGCTGAGTAATATTGTCCTCCCCCGCGCCTCGGGGACAAACCTCGGCCCCGCAGATGCATCCCCTTGACACTTCCGAAACCGTTCGCGGAATACGCGCTGGTCTTGAATTAGAGCTTAAGTGATATCAATTTGAACTTGAAAGTATGGCTGAAACATTCTCTTCCGTGCCCAAGGTTGATTATGCTCGCCTACAAGATAAGACCACCCGACAAGAAGAACTGGATAAACTTCGAAATGCGATATTTGTTGTGGGATTTTTGTACTTAACCAATACAGGGCTGGAGGTATGATGAAGAGAAAATATAGACAATCTCTGAGACTAACGGTGAAATAGGGGTTGATCCGCCACACCCATGACCAACTGCCACAGCTATTCAACCTCTCAGCAGAGGTCAAAGAGGATTGTAACATGATTCACTCCGCCTCATTCCTTGGATACACCCGTCTTGGCGCAGAAACTACGGCATCGCAGACAGATCTTCGCGAGGTAAGTGGTGTATATTATTTGACCGGCGGATTTATCCTTCCTCGCTAACCGAGCAAGCAATTCGACTTTGGTACTCCAGGTATGCCAACGTGGACGGAGCAACATCCGTTCTGGCAGAGGCTAGAGGGGTCCAACCAGGTATGTACCTTCAAGAGCTCTCTTAATACGTCGGCATACCAGTCAGTTCTCACGAATTCATGGTATAGTATCCGAAGAGTCCGGGAGCTCAGAATCTAGTGGAGGAATACATCTCCCAGATCGATAGGCTAGCCCAGGATTTCGTGCATCTGGTCGCAGAATGTCTCTCTCTTCCCGTGGATACATTTGATAACTTCAAGGGCAAAATGAGTCGATTGAAGTTTGTCAAGTATCCTCCATCGGCGCCGGATTCTCAGGGAGTTGGCCCCCACAAAGATTCCGCCGGATTATTCACTTTCCTGTCGCAGGATAATACGGGTGGGCTTCAGGTCTTAAATAAACATGGGCAATGGATAGACGTGCCGCCCGTCGAAGGAAGTTTGGTAGTGAATATTCAGCAGGGATTTGAAGCCATCACTGGAGGGGTTTGCGCGGCCACCACTCATCGAGTTATTGTAAGATCACAGGGGCAGCCCAATTTCCCCTCGTTGCCCAAGGCTCACGATTATACAGGCACCGACCTCACAAACTCGATATAGTATTCCCTTCTTCCTAGGTGTTCGGCTGGACCTGACACTATCCCAGCTGGAGGAGTCGGCAGCACATATTGTCCAGCGTATCCCAGCATCTGACGACCGGAAAAAGCGAGCTATTGATGTACCGAGCGAGTTTCTTTCTCCTCTTTATTCGTGTGTAAGTATTCGAAAAGCCTTTTGACGAGGGAGATATTATCTGACCGTTTCTAGTTTGGCGAAGCTCATCTGCGAAATCGCATCTTGAGTCATCCGGACGTTGGGCGTCGCTGGTACCCCGAGCTGTTCGAACGGTATTCGAAACAGACTTTGAGATAATCTCGTTAGTTGATCTCATTCTGTAGCGAACGGGAATTGTGCCCTGGTATTCAACCACATTCCCTTTTACATATAAGCCGTATCAATACAGTAGTATATCATCTGTTGAGAACGATACACCAAAACAACTCTCTGAATGTCACAGAGCCCTTCAAGTCTAGCTTCAGTGCCACAAAATTGCGTTTTCGTTGTGCAAGGGCACGCGTTACAACGCATAACTCACGGTAATTCTCTCTTTATATCAGTGATTAATGGAGTACCTTCCAATGGAATACCATCATATTCTGCGGCCCCTCAATCTTAGTACTTAGTTAGAACTAGTCACCCGTGAGGGATGAGGTAGTTGAGATTTTGGAAGAATAGTTGTAGTGTTGGTGTTTAGTACCATGTCATTAACAACACATCGTAGACCACGGGAGCCCCTATCATTCTTTTCGGCATCAAGAATCGTTCAAGTTCCTAGAAAAAAGCTTTGTGATTTCCATCCTGGCCATCGGACTTTTTGCGAAGCAATGGTATTTTCATTTCGTAGGAGTTATCTGCGGAAGAACTAATAAGCAAGGTCACTCGATTCTCGTTTTCGAATTTTCTCATTGGAGGACTCGGCCTGTTGAACTTGTGTCGCCAACGGAAGATATTTTCACTTTTGGTTAGTAGTCACACCAGAGTGGACAAGTGTGCCCGTTCAAATATCCCTGTTCCTCAATTTTCTGACCGGGTCGTGATTATCCTTGTCTTCCATTGCCTCATGAGCAAAGTTTGATTTGTAGGATCTTCAGTCTCACAGCCCGTCTTGGCCCTCGAGGTCACTACAACATCTCAATGCGAGGACTTCACTGTCTTCGTATTGCACAAATCTCACGTCAGCCCAGATTATACCCTGTTATGGATGGGGTAATTACTAGTATCTCCTCTTGTTCATCTGGGAAATTGTGCGGCACTCATAAGTGATCTTCGTAATAGCATCTCGGAACGTTCCGTAATCTGATAATCTGAGATCGTCAAAGACCTCGATCTAGGGATGTGTAAGGGGTTCGCCGACAAACACACCCCCAATCTAAGCTCCATTAAATATCCCAAAAATTTTCAAGTCGGCCGGGTACCTTCAAGTTGATATGGTTTACTATCAGGTACTAGGTATAGACCGAGCTGATGAACGCTCGGTTAAAGATATTGGCACAGCTACTAAGTAATCCCTAGTTATTATAAAAGGAAAGAAACATTCTTGAGAGACCGATGCCAAATATGATGATACTGGTACTATATACCTGTATTATGCCGAGGCAGGTCGGATGCAGGCAGTATCCAAAACCTCAGCCATCTACATCACCGTTGTTGCTGCGCTTTCTAGAAATTCTATAGTCGCTAACTTAGAACTAAAATACATGCACCAGGTTTCATTGTTTTGAGCTTCCGCCAAAATCCAAGCGATGTTACATTGTTTACTTTCAACTCTTGACCCTTCACTCGGACCTCGAAGAGTGGAGGTTGCCTTACCCCGCCTAAAGTGCGCATCTGAAGCCCTGAATACCCCACACTTCAGCACTTCAACACTTCAACCCTTCACCCTTCACCCTTCACCCTTCTACCCCTTTATACGTTGCATCGAATAACAATGACGACTATCAATGCCTCTTCCATCTCTACTCTTCGTACTCGCTTGACCACAGCGACCGTTTTTGTGCCTGGAACGGATGGGTATGAAGAAAGTCTGGTCCGGTGGTCGGACACGGGGATGAAATGTGCAGTAAGCAGTCGCAATCATCGCGGAATGCATGCGATAAAAATGTTGGTTAGCTGACTCCTTTATTCACCACCGTCAAAGGGTGTTGTGGTTCAACCAATTGATCCGAAAGACATTCAAGCTGCTCTCATCTGGGCGCGGGAAGAAAACATCGATATCGCAGTCAAGGGCGGTGGTCACTCAACAGCCGGCACAAGCTCGAGTGACGGTGGTCTGGTGATTGACCTATCGCGCATGAACAAGGTGACTGTAGACCGCTCGAGCAAGACCATTACGGCGCAGGGTGGTGCGACATGGAAGGAAGTTGACGACGGGGGCGCTATTCATGGTCTGGTAACTGTGGGAGGAACCGTCAATCATACCGGCGTCGGTGGGCTCACCTTGGGTGCTGGATATGGCTGGTTATCGGGTCAGTTTGGGCTGACGATTGACAATCTTCTGTCTGTGACGGTTGTTCTTGCAGATGGAAGTCTCGTCAAGGCTTCTGCGACCGAACACCCGGAGTTGTTTTGGGGTCTGCGAGGCGCGGGTTATAACTTTGGCGTGGCGGTGGAATTCACTTACCAGGCTTATGAAAGAACAAATCCCGTCTATTCTGGACTGATGGCATTTCCCCCTCATCAGCTGGAGGATGTGGTCCAATTATTGAATGCCCTCCTGGCAGAACCAGACTCCCGCGCCGGTGCTATGTGTATCTTTGCCCAGGCACCCGATGGCTCTGGACCGATGATTATTGTCATTTGCTTTTATGATGGTACCAAGGAGCAAGGAGAAGCACAATTCGCCGGATTTCTCGCTCTGGGACCGGTCCTCAATACTGTGGATATGATTCCGTACTCTGCAGTCAACACCCTGCAAAACCCCCAGGCCACATATGGGGACCGCAAAGCATTCAAGGGGATCTTTTACGAGCCACCGCTAGCCCCAAAGTTTGTCCGGTCTGTTTTTGAAGATTTCATGGCCAAGTTACAGAGCGAACCCGATCTGATGGCTTCTGCAATTATCCTCGAGTTCATTGACATGCGCAAGATTTGCGAAGTTCCTTTGTCTGCTACTGCCTTTGCTAGTCGCAACTCAACCCAGAATGGCATCGTTTATCTTCGATGGACGGATGCGAGCAAAGATCTGGAGCACAGGTCGTGGGCGCGCGAGGCCCAGGCTAAGTGGACAGGTGAACTGGATGCTCGAGCCAAGGGACGCGAGACCGGTGAATACGTGCCTCAATACATTAACTACGCTGAACGTAAGTTACTCCTGAGACTTCCAAGGTTATTTGCAAATCCTCCGCTTCTTTCTATTAACAATAAGTTGTCAGCGGGTGACTCTGTGGTGCCGAATATCTATGGTGAGAATCTCGCACGTCTACAGAGGGTCAAAGCCCAGTACGACCCAACGAATATTTTCAACAAGATGCATCCTATCTCACTAGCTACTTCTCAGTAAACGAGATGGTAGTAATAGCACATTTCGAGCATAACTAGCGCATGTGACAAATCTTAGTTGGAGTTACTTACCAATAATACCATGACGGATGATACCGCCACGTTCAACTTACTAGTAGTTATGAACAATGAAAAGGTGATTACCAAAAGCAACTTGAACGTGTAATATTTTAAGGACTTGCAACCTCGAAATACTGGCAGTTAAAGCTCGCGATGGGTTTTGGTACTAGCAGTATCTATTCAGATTTACTACAAGTAGAAGGAATCCTAGGATTTACAGCCGGGGCAAAATATGATATTTGACAGCTTTGACGGTGGTCCATCCCTCCAGAGCTTCTTCGCCCATGTCTCTTCCGAAACCACTTTCTTTGACTCCACCAAAGGGGACATTCGGGCTGAGCATCGCCCACGCATTGACAGTAACTTGGCCAGACTCGAGGGATTTGGTGACTCGGTGAGCTCGGCTGATGTCGTTGGTGAAGACCGCGGCACTCAGGCCATGGAGGGAGTCATTGGCTTTGGCGACGACCTCTTCCTCGGTGGAGAATTTGGCAATGCTCTATTCCCAAAAAATTGGGTTCGTTGGTCAGGTCAGTGGGCATGGGGAATGGGAAGTGCACTCACCGCGACGGGGCCAAAAATCTCCTCGCGCATGATTGTAGCATCGTCGGGTACATCGGCAAAGGCGGTATTTTGAACGAAATATCCCTTGCTTCCAATTGGTTCACCTCCGAACAGGAGTCTCGCTCCGGACTGTTTCCCCTGTCGAATATAATCCAGGATTTTCTGGTGCTGGGTGCAGCTGACCACAGGACCCTTTGTTGTTGACGTTTCGAGTGGGTTACCGGCCACCGTCGGCGCGTTTGCCGCGGCTTGCTTGTACGCCTCGATGAAGCGATCGTAAATTCTTTCCTGGACATAGATGCGGGACCCGGCCGCACAAATCTGGCCGTTGTTTGCCGTGATACCGATTCGGGTCCAAAATAAGGCATTCTCCAAGTCACAGTCGTCGAAGACAATCGACGGCCCTTTGCCCCCGAGTTCCAAACTCACCTTTTTCAAATTGGTCCGCGAGGCGGCTTGCATGATCTTCCGACCGGCGACCGAGCTACCCGTGAAGGCCAGTTTTCGAACCTCCATATGTTCTGACAGGGTCTGGCCTGCGGTAGCTCCTTCGCCGGTGACAATGTTGACGACACCGGCCGGGATCCCAGCCTGCTTGACCAGTTCCGCTAGCCTTTGGGCATATAGAGGAGATAGTTCCGAGGACTTGATAATCAAAGCGTTCCCGGCGGCCAAGGCTGGAGCCAGCTTCCAGATGGTAATCATGCTAGTTGAAAAAGATCAGCATTATGCGATTGAGAAGCGGAGATGGACGGTAGAAGGCGATGCTTACAGAGGGGCATTCCAGGGAACGATGGCAGCACACACCCCGATGGGTTCGCGGTGGGTGTACTGCAATGCCACCATCCATCTCGAGGGATTTCCCATCCATCTTGTCCGCCCAGCCGGCATAATATCGCAGACAGCCCACGGCCTGGGGGATGTTGAGACCGATGGAGTCGGTGTAGAGAGTGCCGGCGTCGACAGCCTCCAGAGAAGCTAGAATTTGAGCATCCTGTTCGATGAGGTCGGCCAATTTTAGTAAAAGGCGGGCTTTTGCGGGACCTGAAACAGACTTCCAAGTTGCGAAACCCGCTTTGGCAGACTGAACGGCGCGGTCGATATCGTCGGGCCCGGCGGCCGAGATTGTTCCCAGGGATTCACCGGTGGTGGGGTTTTCTACGAGCAGGGTTTGGGCGGTGGTAGAGGGTCGGAATTCATTGTGAATGAAGAGACCGGTCGGAACTATGCATGTGGTACTCCGTAGAGGTATGGATTAGCAATTGGGGTACACTACGTTCACTGGTGGAGAATGGGGATGGGCAGGTAAGGTACCGGTAATTTGTCGCCCCTGCACGCCAATCACGTTCAGCGAAGTAGTAGTAGACATGGCGATTGAATTGAATTGAATTGAATTGAATTGAATTGAATCGAGCAGATAGACCAGGTATCTCGACCTCAACTGCGACCCCCGACTCGAGCGTGAGCTGCTAGTGCTTTTCAATCAGATATGGAGGGCGCCATGCTGCGGGGAAGGCGCCAGGATTCCGCGCCAGGATTCCGCATTCATTCCGAGTCGGAGGGTCGTTCCGAGGGAATTTGAACACGTGGTGAACTGGGGACGGAGGTGAGAGAGGAGAAGAAATGAGATAAGATGGATACTGGTAGAAGAAGAAGAGAAGAAGAGAAGAAGTTGAAGGAGGAGGTGAGGATCATGTGATGGTGGTGGTGGTGAAGACGGAAGGTGCGAGGGAGAGTGCCTTCCTTGTGAACTACACTGGCACACAATACACACAGTCCATACACATAGTACTATCTAGTATTATACAGTACCTAGGTATACAATATAGTATAGTATAGTATGGCACAGTAGAGTATACTATATGTATATATAGTCTACTATATACTAGGAAGAAATAATATATTATCCATGGATCATCTGATATAATGATCATATATACTATAAAAAGTACTATACTCATATCTCTGGACTCCCAGACATCCACTGGCAGGTGATCATGGGCCATGGCCGCCAAGACCCAATCCTCCTCTTCCTCTCCAACTCTCCTTCAACTTCTCCCCTCCTCTCCTCTCTCTCCCCTTTTATATCACCACCACCACCCCCCACCCCCTTATACCGTCGTCCAAAACCCCCAAACCCCAGCGAGAACCAATTTGATCCCCGCCGACAGCCAGAGCACCGGCCCGATCTGCTGCGTCGCTTTGGTGATCCATCCACCAATAACCGCCCCAACCAGTGTGAGCGCAAATGCAATGACCCGTCGATCGCGCTTTTCGTTCCGCAACAGGAATAACTTTGGATCCGACATGAGATCACACAGAAGGCTTGTGATCACCACCGTCGGGATCTCGTTGAATCCCAGCGTGCGACTCGCCACGATCTGTCCCGCCGACTGCAGACTCAGCAACACAATCGGAACCTCTTCATTCCACAGAGGCGTAGTACTACCCGCCGCATCCGAGTCATTTCCGCCCCCCGCAAGCACGCTGGAAACTACTTGTCCTTGCACCAGTCCCGCCGTCAGAAGAATCAGCCCCGCTTGAATTGCAAACGACAGCATCAAACTGCCTCGTCGCCGCGCCCCCAGCATGCGATGCAGTCGTGCAAACAGAAAACTCCCCACCACGAAACATCCAATCGCCGTGAGGGACCCTACCCACCCATACGCCCGTGCCTCCTGTCCAGAGGCTCCCAACCCGACAAAGATCGTGTTCCCTGGTTCATAACATCTTCGCATCAGCCGAGCCTGCCCGATGGGATGAGGCTGAGGGTGACTTGAACATACCCGTCTGCATCGACACAAATGTCCTGTAGGCTGTTCCACATCAGCAGGGTTGAATTGCAAGAACTCTCGGAACTTGAACCACACCGTTATACGTGGTGCTGTCGACCAGTCCGGATGATAGACAACACCCAAACAATATCATCTCTCCATGACGAGGGTCGATTTCCGCTTTGAAAAAGGCGCCTACGCGTGGCGGTGCTCTTTTCCCACCTTCCATGCTAGATGTGGGTAACGACATCATTAGATGAGTATCTCTGGAGGAAACGATTTTGGAGAGTCGGCAAGAGGAACAGCAGAAACATGAAGAGAGCGGCAGAAGACGAAGAGAGAGAAAAAAAGCTGATCTCTGAGGGAGACGAGAGATATCCTCAAAGCTGGCCAAGGACTGGGCTTTTGTTCTTCCCCTCTTTCCTGATCGTGGTCTTGAATATACACGTTGCATCGTCTTTGGGCGGGACTTATAGCCCCCCCCCTCCACCCTTCGGAGGGTGGAGATAGCAGAACCTGGATTTCTGCACGCCGGGGAATCCAACTGCATAAGCGGCGGAGGGGCCGCTGCAATCACGCCTTGCACGCTTCTTGAACCTTCGCGGAGCTTTCATGCATTCGGGCCGCCGGAAATGCCCATCCTCTCCCTTCTTGATGTGCCAAGGCTCGGGGGGGAATTGGTCGCAATGCCGAGCAACTTGGCGCCGCTCCTCTCTGTCCCCCGAGATCGACTCGGTCGACCGTGTGTGCGACAACCCGGACAATGTCCACGAGGGGCTGGTGTGACAACCTGTGCCCATTGTCTCCCAACTCGCTTCTCTTTCTGCATCTTGCTCGAGGTAAGATCGTCAGAATCCCTATTCCCAACTCATCTCAATCGTAGTCCTCCTTTTGATGTCTCTTTGTTTCAGGCCAAATGGCGGCTCGCATGCGCGCCTATAGCGGGCTTCTCTCTGCCTGCTAATCTCTCAACGCAGGATCGATGATTTCCCAACACTAAACAAACTAGCGCAAGACGGAACAAAATCGGCGAACCAGGGGCAATTCTTCAGTCTTGTGCATTGGCCCTTCAGCCCTGCGGGGCCAACACTCTACTCTTGACGGCCCACATTTTGTCTCATGTTCTGTCGTATCATTCGTCTCCTGCTCTACCTTACTGTTGGTCTCCTGTTGAAGCTATGCCCTCGTCCTATGTTTTCTTCATACATCCGTGCAAGGACAATTCAACACATGATCGGCGCAATGCGTCCGTAATCCTTTGGGTATGGGGTTATCTCCGGTGCACAGATCGCGGCGCAGCGATGAGTCTCGCTGTTTCAACAACCCTGTCTTCGCGCTGTTCGCGCCACGGAACTGACTAGGTGTTATCTTGCATTTTCGCATCCTTTAGTCAGTGCAGAAAGAGGGGATACACCCATTGGGGGCGGGGGCGTCAAGGTCCTTGGTTATCTCTCGGCGGGGGGTCATCTGGGCCTGGTCGTTGGATCGGTACGACCTCGCCCAGAAGCTGCAAAGTACCAGATGCCTAGACCCTAGGGCTGCAGATACGCGTCATTGGCACACTTCGTAGCTGGTGGTGGCTAGTATCTAGACCACATTACCCTCCGCCCAGTCTCGTAGAGAAGTTCATTCGTCATTCATACACTGGGGCAATCCGATTCTATGATCCATGCGATTCCCAAGGGTTGGGGGAATTGAGGTGATTCGGGTACTCCCAACATGCATTTCACATACCTCAGACTCGGACAGCTCTATTCAACCTCCAGTACTCTAAATCCGGATCAAGGTTATTTAGTCCCAGGTAATTCAAATCAAAGCAATTGAACTCGGTCTACAATTAAATTTCCTTTGCTTGAATCCACCTCAGGCTGGGAACGCAATCCATATCCGTATTCGTATTCATGAAATTCATACTGAAGCCCGGAGTGATTCCAATTCTAGCAATTCCATCAGCCAAGCTATTTTATATTGCCAAAACTTTAATTTCACCGGGAGATCGACGTGGATTTCACAATATCCCTCGCCAAGCAAGTCCCGTTATCGGGTAATGACAGTATCAACAATTGCCCAGGCGCCCAGGTGCTTTCTCCCAAAGGAAGCCTAGTACAACCTTGGAAGGGCTCATACATGCTGACTCGGACTCGGCTAGGTCACCACCTGAGATATTTCTGCTGTCGTTTCCAAGGTTTCTGCCGGCACAAAGCCTCCCAAAATTGAAGTCTTCCGATGATACATATCGGCTGCTGTAATCTGTCTTGGCGCATGGCGATATGTTGCATCTGGAGGATGCCAAGCCCGTCCGTGTTTGGTCATCTTTGTGTGATCATGCATGATCACCAACTGTAACCACGCAATAGAGTCTCTAATCGTACTCGGTGGAAAGGCCCGACAGTACTGGTTTGGTTTGTCCTCGCAAGCTCTGAAGGTCCTCGTCGAAAAATATAAATAGCCGATGTCGAACCCGTAGATTCACCTTGTACAACACAACATTTTTACCTCTACAAAGTCTCCGGTTCACACTACCACCGGCCTTCTCGCATCACAATGACTATCACTATCACCGTTGAAAAGGATGGATACTATGAGGTCAATGGTAATCGGCAGGAGCCTACTGTCAATCTCTATATCATCCCGGCTGCATCCAAGTTGCACCGGATGCTCAAGGACACCAAGGACTTGATTGTTTGTCCCGGTGTTTATGATGGTCTCTCTGCCAGAATTGCAATGGATCTCGGCTTCAAGGGCCTCTACATGGTAGTGCCCCTCCAAAAGCCCCCTGCTGAGAAATCGCAAAGACTGACCTCTGGAATAGACCGGCGCCGGAACCACTGCATCACGTCTTGGAATGGCCGATCTCGGGTTGGCTCAGCTTCACGACATGAAGACCAACGCCGAAATGATTGCAAACCTGGACCCATTTGGCCCCCCCACTGATTGCAGATATGGATACTGGCTATGGAGGTATGTAGGGAGATTCATTTCCCACTTTAAAAGCTTTGCATTAGTTCGAAAGCTCATAAGTCTCAACTAGGCCCCCTTGTTGTTTCGAAGTCAGTCCAGGAATACATACAGGCCGGCGTCGCTGGATTCCATATAGAGGATCAAATTCAGAACAAGAGGTGCGGACATCTTGCAGGCAAGAAGGTCGTCAGTCTGGAGGAATACATTACGCGTATCCGTGCTGCCAAGATGACAAAGGACCGGCTGCACTCGGACATTGTCCTCATTGCACGCACCGATGCTCTTCAACAACATGGCTACGAAGAGTGTATTCGTCGATTGAAAGCAGCCAGAGATATTGGTGCCGATGTTGGCCTTCTCGAAGGGTTCACTTCGAAGGAACAGGCTCGTCAGGCAGTTCAAGACCTGGCTCCCTGGCCCCTGCTTCTCAACATGGTCGAACACGGCGCCACCCCTTTGATTACCACCAAGGAGGCCGAGGATATGGGATTCAGAATAATGATTTTCTCTTTCGCTTCCATCACCCCTGCCTATATTGGTATTCGGTCCGCTCTGACGCGCCTCATGACAGAAGGAGTTGTAGGGATCCCGGAAGGGTTAGGACCCCGGAAAATATTCGAGGTTTGTGGTCTAATGGACGCGATGAAAATTGATACAGAGGCTGGAGGTGATGGCTTCGCCGAGGGGGTTTGACCTTCTCGTCGGAAGCATGTAACTTCCCTTTAAGAGATTTATTTTTGAGAGCAAATGCACTTTTTAAGCTACCAAGATACATAGAATTTATTTTATGCCCATCGTCAAACTAGTACCGTATAACATATCTTAGCTATTAGTAAAATCTCCCTTCGCCGTGGAGTATCATGAACTGGCTGGTGTCTTGCATTGGAAGAGGATTGGGCTCTCGGTTCTCTTTGATGGCCCCGGGGTCGTAAGCACTACTTCCTTCGCTAGTATGATCCATTCATCCGGAAGCTGTCTGTAGAACATCGGCCATAAGGTCCGTCCAACTGTCTCGTTGGCTGTATATTGCCCCGTGATACTAACCATGCGCTCCTCGCGCAAGGCTGCTCCTGGTGGACTCCACCAAAAATAGAAAAGTTTGCCCTGACACTCAAGCCGTTTCTTGAAATCCAAACACTTCCGAATAATTTGCCTCAACTCCTTCCGTCTTTTCTTTGACTCGGTTGCAGAACCCTGTGCAAACTTTGATTCGGTACGCTGCATAATGTCGTCACAGGTCTTCTCTAGGCCTTCCTTCTCGTGAGACGATATGGCATTACTCAAGACGGACCGCCAACGTTGCCAAACCTGAACCGGGTCTTTATTTCCCAAATTTAGTCGCGGTTTTTAGTTTGGTGGATATTGTTAGATCAGATCAGTCGCTTACATAGATTTTGTACTTCTTTGTCAATGAGTCGCAGATGGTGATCCAAAGAACCGTTACTCGTCCCCACTATAAAAGGAGCCAGGACGGAGGTGAAGAGGCCTTCGAATACTTCTCCATGGATTAGGTGGTGTGTAGTATCTGGACGAGATTTGGAACAATCTGGAAGAGAATTTGTACGATCTTCACTTGATTGTGTATGGTCGGCGTCCCTTGGGCATACAAAGCGAGTGAAGTGCCGTTCAACCCAACTTTTCAAATCTTGGTAAATAAGTTGGAAACTATGAGTAGCTTCACTGTCATCCAATATGTCCGGAAACTTTGGGGCCACCTTTTTCACAGATTCTCTGTTTCGCGGCAATATTATTCGAGCCGATTTTGTATCATCCTCAAGCAATCTCTGGTGTTGTCGCTGCTCTCGGTCCGAAATTGGAACTTGCACCAGCCTCTAGTCATCTTTATCAAGCGATTTTCGAATACCTTCTATAATTATGCAAACCTCCTCCAGAATTTGTAGTACTTCTTCGACCAGATCGCTTTCCATGTCCATATTCATATCTGTCAAAAGCTCCGCTTGCTTCTCAAACGCACCTGGCATCTCACCGTACATATCCAGTTCTTTGTAGGTGTCAGTATTCATAAGTAGACGATACCGCCCATCTAGGATGGTCCAATGCACCCACAGTATTCCAGCCAATCTAACTTGAGATACTGGATAACATTTTCTGACTGAAAGTTCACATATTCATCCTGATTAGGTAACACTGATGACAATAACATGAGCCCTATACCTGATGCGGGTCTCTTACTACACCCCGACACCTTTTACGGAATACAGTTTCCACAAATGACGATATGCCGTTATTGGCTTTGTTTTAGAACGCACTGGCCTTGGGTATGCTTCACCCATACTTCTATAAAACCCAGAATCCAATCAAGCTATAAAATCATGACTCCAAGTTAATACTAGTATTCCGAGGGAACGTAGCGAACTAGTTAGCACGGGAATAACAACCGGAGTCAAAAGCATCTTTCGATATTATTGCGGGATAATATTGCGCCGAAGGATTATCTAACACGGATTTGCCTGCGCGAATACCTGGGCTTCTCCAAAGACTAGTTCGCTGGATGCGATGCTGACTTTTGTTAAAGAAAGGGTTCATTTTAATACAAAAAGGCCAGAAGCCACCCGACAGACGGCTACAAGTAGATATGCAGAGCGAGGGGATGAGAAGGTAATGAGTTGACAATAGGTGTAATTTTAATGATCGCGACAACATACTCGAGTGGATGTTGCTCCCTGAGTGCTCTAAAGCCCGAGGCAGCCATCGCGAGGCCAGTTGGACATAATTCACTTATACTCCCTATATTGGTAGTAGCAGTAGTATCCACATTATTATCTACTGGTGCTACTTAGTATATCCATATCACTATCTATTTTACGGCCAAAACTTGGCCTTATTTACACAGAGATCCAACTCAAAGAAGCCTTGCTGGCACTGAAACCCCCCTCATTGAAAGTCAGGCCCATCAATGTAGCGTTAGCTTTTTCAGACCGTCCCCACGGACAGTTTGCAGGGGAGCAACAAAAGCCATTTGACTCCAAGAGAAAACCTGATTCTTTCCACCATAGACGAACACCTCAAAGCGACCCACAAAAGCACCATTCACCCAGACCCTACTACCTGCTAGTGCGCTCGTAGTGATCGTTATTTTAGCTCTTTGGGGGAGTTTCACGATTTCGTGGCTCGAGCTCGTTGCATTGGCCCAGATACGACCCAGGTGGGAAACATCGAAACCATCTTCCTGGGCGACCGACCGAAGGGGATATGGCCATCCATCCGAGATAAAGGTCAACTGGCCATCTTCGGACATAGTGAGAACATCATCGGCGCTCTCGAGGGAGAATGGCCCAGTCACTGCAAGATCTAGAGTATAATTCATTCCTTTGCTACCGTGACCAAGTTCGTATACCCCGAGAGGGTGTTCCGTCTGGGGTCGGCTCCAGGTCAGGTTGGGCCTGGAAACATGGGAAGTTTGTCGGTGTAAATTCCGATTCAAATTCTGGCCGACAGCTTTGCTTGTCAATATCTCCAATGAATTGTCCAGGGTTCGTTCATCAAGCCGCAAGCCCCGGCTTCCCGTCCATGCCCGAGAGGCAACGACTGGGATTCCATTGCGAATGGCGTAATAAGCCTCCAACTGCGTTGTCGCATCCGGACCATTATCGCTCCATGCAGCGAGAATTGCGCCTCGGACAGCTTTTTGATCGGGCTGTTCAGTCAGATTCACCGGGTTGAATAGCTGCGGGGTCCATTGCCAACCCTCTTTATCCGCGAAGTTTAAGACGCGACTGTTGTTGAAAATTTGAGGATAAGGCGCGGGGCTAATTGGAACATGGTCGTTTTTCAACGACATATAAGCCCACCAGTCTTCCGAATTGATGATCTGATAGCCGTCTGCTGCAAGTTGTACAGGGTCGGACTGACCATACTGCCAGTGCTGAATTGTGATGTTTGTATTGATTGACTGCGTCTTGGAGGGCTCGTAGGTACCCCAGATCCGGATTCCCTTGCCAGAATCCCGAGAAATAAACTCCGACATTTCGTTGACGAATCTGATATAGTCGTCGGCAAGAGTCGAATCGTACTCATCGGCGCCAATATGGACCTCCTTGGTGTGAAACCAGGGAAGAAATTCCGACCATATAGACTTCACCAAAGGAATAGTATCGGGGTGTGAGAGATTTAGAAGGTCATGTTGATCCAAGGCCAGCTCAGGTCGCCATTTCGTCACAGATAAGCAGTGACCGGGGCTTTCGATCTCTGGCGTAACGGTGATTCCACGCTGCGCGCAGTGGGTTTGGAACTCATCGAAATCGGCTCTGGATAAAGTTTCATTGATTCGCTGCACCAATGGTAACAGTTCAGGGTTTTCTGGTCGCAAGGCAAACTGCGAGTAGACTTCGTTCCATGAGACGTTGGGCCCTCGACTCAAGGGATAGTTGTCGGTTGCATGGTAATGAAACTCGGATATTTTGAAGTAAGACGCGTAAGTGCACAGATCCTTCAAGTAAGGCAAGGAGTACCACTTGCGACCCGCATCCAACATGAATCCTCTCGTTGCATATGCAGGGGTATCTTTCACTGCGCTAACCGGGATTGAAAAAGTTGAACCGAGGGCAAGCTTTTGGAGTAAAGTCCGAGTCCCCCACCACATTCCTCGAGCACCAGAGCCTTCAATGAAAATTTGGTCCTTCTCAACACGCATTTCATAGCCTTCCTCTGTCGAACTACCATCCTCGTAAACAAATTCGGCCTGGGACTTCTTGGAGCGACCGAGAAAAACCCCAGATCTCGACTTTGGAAACTGCCGGACGGTTCGAACGTCCCACGAAGAATTGGTGAGGTCCTGCAGATCATCACGGAATGTTCGCGCAAACTCCAACGCCGACGGGGGAATCAGGGTTAATCCATTCTGATCAGTCCATGATGCAAAATCCTCCTCGATGTAAATGACTTTGTTAGTTGTAGCGAGCGAGAACCTCTCGTCCTTGAGGGTCTCGAGCGCATCGAACTGGGCCGGAGGAGTGTTTGCAGGGCCGACGCGGCCGACGCGGCTACTGCAGTAAGAATTATGGGCAACCTCATTTTCTTGCACGATTAATAGATTCAGGAGATTCGCGATGGATGGCTCTTATGTTTTGCTTGCTGGTGGCTCCGCAATGGCAGCGTTACATCCCTACCGATCGGCAGTTGATATGTGGAGACGTGGGATGCCACGCAGAGGCGGGGATTGCCGAATATCTTAACTGTCTTGGGCGACGCCAACGGGATTAAGATAGAGAAAAAGGAAAGAAGAGTATTATTTGACTTATTAAATGATACGAGGTTGCAGCGCCAAGCCATATCGAGCTCACAGCCTAGCCCATTTGCGAATCCTACCACGATAGCCCAGCATTATCACTATTTCCATGTCTCCATTCTTTGCTAGAGCTGTGCGAGGGGGCGTGGCTTGCGTGCCGGTATGTGAAACCACGATTGCTCAAATCCTACATGTCGAGGCCATCTTGCAGTCACTCGTTGGATTTCATGCGACATGAGCCGAGGATATTCATACTTGGCGCATATCATCTCGGCTTCATGATCAGCAGTATTCCGGTTAAACTCCTCGCTGGAGTCGATAACTAGATATTGTAAGTTTTAATGTTAAAGAAATATATTGAAAATTGAAAAAAAAAAATGAAATTCACATACCCATATGGGCAATGGTCAAAAGCTCACGCGCTGATCTTATCGCGAGCCTTGAATCTTGGGGGAACGACTTGATGTCTTCAGCAGCTGTGGCGATTGCACGAATGAATTTCACAAGATGACCGTCATCGCTGTATTCGCAAGCGCGATGAAAGACTCCCGGCCATTCAGAAGGTATCTTTGGTCGATATAAGGTCAATTCCTCCGGATGGAGTTGTGGAGCGCCAGACTGGCAGTAGAGCATTAAGTCAGATCGACCTTTCCATTCCAACAACCTGCATTTGTTGGCTGGTGAAATCCAGGATGCACTGTTTAACGCTGGGAATAAGGATCCGGCGGTGATAGAATGCATCAAAAAGAAATCGAATCTGATTTGCTTGTCCGGTCGCTGAGCTAGGGCTGTCCAGTAAACTACATATGAGCACATGTTAGCCCGATACAGATATTGGGGATGGTCTCCGGTTGTACTTGTGGAATTAAGCAGCTCTGCAGTTTTCTCCTTCAAGTTTTCGGAATTTACTTTCCAGTGGCCCATTATACGTAAGAAATCGTCCCTGGCATTAACCAACAAATTGTCTCGGATTTGAAAGACACCATGGTCGTAATCCATCGAATTTTTAATGTTTGAGTTAGCATATATCTCCTGTTGCAGCTCAATCATTCCTTTTGAATCGGGGGACTCATTCGACGCATGTTCCACCATAGCGAGAACATCGCCAAACCCCGAGTCGTGGACTGCGGTCAAAGCCAATGCCTCTGCTGCCATAAGCGGCTGGCAAAATTCGATCGCGTATCCCAGGTGGATCGGTGAGTGCAAGAAGCCTAGGTAGCGAGCAATCCAATATTATTAGATATGAGGATATATTTCAATGGTGTTTTGCATGAACACTAACCGCTAAAAAATCTGCGCATCATATCTTCGGCTCTGTCATCTCCTCTGAAAAGGTACTCGTTGACCGTGGCGTGCCAGCCCTTGGTAGAAATTTCCTTCTGAAAGAAAGCAAAGAAATCATCGTAATATTTTCCTTTCCCAAGAAAGGTCCTGAATTTCACAGGATCGGCAAGATCTAGTACTCGGCGGGCATCCGGAGGCCGGGTGGGTCGCTGTGACCCAGTAGCCAAATTAAATGCTTGATCAAGTTGTCCAGGCGTCGCGCCAAGTGCATACAGTGCTAGTAGATGGTGGAGAATATGATCTGGCACACTGAATCAGTACTAGTAGGTAAGGGGATAGTTCTTGCAATGAGAATTCATACTGTGAAGGCCTAGGTTATGGATATAGATATGATAGTTGTCATGGTTTCTCTGCAGAAGCTCCGATACTTGGGATGCAGTGTCGATGTTGAAAGGTCGGACCTCGAATGCACCGGTGGGTGGAGTTTCGGTCTTGATTTTTATTTCCCGATGGGTTCCCATTGTCATGCCTGGCCATGTGTGGATGCATTTGAAACGGTTTCTGCTTAAATTTGTATCGATCGATGCCTTCAAATCAAGTTCAGACCATTTCTTGAGCGGGGAAAACACATGGGGGGCGCAAACCACTCTCCCAGAATTTACCGAACTGCCGAACCCCGCGCAACAGACGCCGTATTAAACCCCTCTCTGCCACGCCACATGTGCGACAGGGATGACCGTAATCCAGGCTTAGGAGGTTGATTCTGTAGAGGGACCTTATCAACATGACTGGTGAATTTCTTCAAAACTTGAACAGTCGGCTCCCAGCCAGCGAACAAGATTCCAAATATCACATATTTCTATTTCAGATAGCTCGTATATGTTTTATATCGCATAGTGAAAGAAACAATTCGAAATGCCTGGGAAAAGAAAAAGAGGGGGCTGGTGAGTTTTACACTGGGAAAGGATGTAAGATCTACACATAGTCAAACAACTGACATCCGTCATACAATCGACCTATCTTCCTCGAAGTTAGCTGTGGCTTCATGCACATGTGGGGGAAGAACAAATGTATCCTCCAGGCCGGCCCAGTGCATGGCATCTAATCGTGCAAGTCCAAGTTTTACCAGGGGAAAACTTTGACTCTGACATCGAAGGACCTGTAGCCATGAATCCACCAGATATTTCCCTCGTGTTGCATGTGAGGCGTTGGGGGCCTGAACAAGTAAGAGCATAAGGAAGTTCGAAACCGTTGCAAATCCAATACGGGACCCTATTATGGTATTAATATTCCTACTATAAATTGTCCTGGCGGAGGGAAGACTGGCATGAGTGCCTAGGTGGGTGGTATGGAATGACCTACATGAGTACCAAAATCCCGTAAAATCACTAGCTGTAAGCCTCCGGGTGAAATTCACCAGGATGGTGGCGCACTTCTCCGCTGCATGAAGGGTAATTTCGCCGGTGCCACTTACATCAGACATGGAGATCTCCGGGAATGGCTCGATCCCAGAGATTTCGGCAAAATCCAATGTCGGATCGTCCACAGGTAACGGGGAGGTGGCAGCCATTTCTTCTAGGTCGAAGATCATTGGAGGACATGAGGATCGCGCCATTGGTCGTAGCATGGCCCGATACACATATACGACGAGCAGTAGATATGCAAAGTGGATGGATGTTGGATAGGGTGCCTGGCCGTGTACCGATTTACTCCAATTGGGGAGACGAAATGTTTCCGGGAGAGTTGAGTACCAAGTGTTGAGTTTCTCCAACAGCTCTCGCCCGAGCTCGGCAGAGGCGTCGAAGTTTGCGTTCAGGATTTGAGAGGCTCGCAGAGTGCTGCATGAAGGGATCAGTAACTGCAATCCGCGGCTAACCAGATGGGGCTTTGATTTTAATAGGAAGAATAGTGACTCACTAGAAAGTTTCATGGATCTCCTCCGCGATTCGAGCGAGATTAACCAGATAGCGAAACGGGATTTCGGTGTCACAGGAAGACGTCGAGAAACCTTGTCGTGGCCCAACCAAGAAATCGCCCTCGTCTAATTCACTGACATCCCATTCGGCCGGGTGGATATAGGGTGGGCGCCCCATCAATAAACTGCGCCATTTATCTTCGGCATAGACAGCCCACCACAGCCGGCGTCGGAGACGTTTTTCCCAAGCCGGAATCCCCCACATGCGACATTCAATATGAACGCCGAGGGAACAGGCGAGGCCGACGATTTGCCCAACAAACGACCATAAAAAAGGCGTATCGGCGATTGTATATCTGGCCTCATCGGCGGGCTGCTGGTGAAGGTATAATAGAGCGGCTTGAAGAACCGCGAGACGAGGAGTGTGGATTTCTTCGCTCACGAGCTCGTACACCATTCGCCACAGCCTTTGAACAGGAGATGAGTGATAGGTGTTGAGAACACACAAGTAGTCATCATGAGCCACGAAGGGAAATGCCGATGCGTAGATGGCGGCCAAGAGATGGACTGGGATTTTAGCCAACACGGACAGCTCCGGGAGCTGATACGACGGCATGGTCAACCCAAGTTGGGAGCGAGATATCACCGGCAGCGCAGGAAATACATACTTGACGAATCTAATACAGTCAACGTTAATCGGATCCACTTTGGCAGCAACAAGAAAAAGGGAATCGCATAGTATCTTGGGGGATTGGACTCACAGTGCGACTAGTCTTCTACCATACTCGGGGGGCACTAAACAATCAAGCTGTTCCCGCGTGACTTGGCCGAGACCTGCCCTGGTTTCCTGCTTGAGCCCGTCAGATAGATCGCCGGATGATATCATGAAATGGACCGGAATACGTTGAGCAGTGGGGACACCACCGGCATTCCGAAAGTGGATTTTGTAGAAATACTTCATTCCAGAGTCGTCGAAACGGCAATGTCGGAGTAACCACGGATCGGACTCGGCGGAAGCACCAAACAACTGCGCATAGCCGTGTTCCAATCGGTCAATGCTCTGGACAAACTGGGTCGGCGGTCGGCTAGCAAGAGGGATCCCCGAGGCCGGCGAGGGACCACTGACTTGGCCGAATTCGAGTGATGGGAAAGGGGACTTGACGCTGTCGGCAGGACTCTTCAAGTGGGGGATATCCGCGACCAAGACCCCCCCAACTTCGCCGTGCGAGGTGGCCGGCAGATCATCGACACTCGAGACGCTGAAGGAGAGCGATTGCGAGAGACGTGCACGTTTCGGCGGTGGGTTGTCGAAGGTGCAGTCTATTCTGGCAGCTCGGCATCGTTGACAAGGGATGCCGTCGCCCGTCTGGCATCCCAGCTTTCGGGATCGGCATTGATCGCATGGCCGGTGTCGTTTGGACCGGTACGGGCGAGCGGAAGGGGGCAGTGACATGGTGAAAGCTGCGGCGTAGAAGATCGGCGAAGAGAACAAGGATGGGGTGTGGTTCGTTTTAACGTCCTAGGTGTCGGTCACAGTCACGGTCAAAAGCGCCGGTGGCGCGAGAGGCACTGGAATTCTTCTATTGCTCAGCGTTCGGCCAAGTTCCTCTCGGCGAAGTCCAAGTACATATGTCATTAGTACTAATTAGGAGCAGAAGAGAAAAGAAAAAGGAAGTCGATTGGCTCGGCGAAGTGTGACCCACCACCGGCGGATGATGTCGGCAAACGAAAAGTACTACGAAGTCGCAACAGGTGAATTACATACGTCGTATAAACCCTAAAGAGAATCAACTAACCAAGTCCATCCTCTACGCGGACCAAGCCCAATCCGCAGCCCACCGGCCACCATCGGCGAATGTTGAGGCCTGACAGCGCCGTGGGTACTTGTCATAGAATGACTCCATTCAACTCGGCCAGCAGATTTCTTCGGAATCGCACGTCGGCAGGTACTCGCTAGTTATGTGCTCACCGGCGACATGACATGCTCTATCTCCATTATCCATTGTATATGAACAAGGACCCGTCACTCAAAACACGGGCTGATTAATTTAACATTCTGGATTCTGGTAATCAATTCCTCCCTCAGAAACCCGTTAAAGCAGCATGATGTCCGCGTCTGAACTCAACCAGTCCTCCAAAGCGACATGGATGAAGACTATCTTCTCTCTTCATGGCAAGGAGAAGTCCATACCCGATGATGGACAATCTGAAATTACACTCATTCAGAGGTATGTACTATGTACCGTGTTCGAAAGAAGCCAATTCAAAAGGCAGAGGCTCAAGGGTCAAAGCTAAGAGCATCCTTCAAATACAGGTCCGAGCAGAGCTCCGATTCACAGCCATACAAGACGGCTTTGCCACCAAAGAATTTCAACGGTAGGCATTCCAAGTTTAGGAAGTTGAAGCCATGGCTCGCCGACTAACAGATTTATAGCTGCAGATATGTGTTTTGGCTCTTGCTGCAGAAAATAGTCATTGAAGCTCTATATGCCCGTGGCCACCTGGGCAGAGGAACAACGCAGACCATTACTTGTGTTCAGCCCTGGAGGATATAGTTGTGGTTTCCACCGTGATCGACCATAGTAACATAGTACCATAATGCTTCAAATTTCGAGTACTAGATACCATTAATGTAATAAAGTTATACCTTCCACATGACATGACTATGATTTAGGATTCAGAATAATGCAAGTTTTGACTTAGTGAGCGGTCTCGTGCAATTGTCCCCGCCGACGTTATCATCTGGCGTCAGCTTCTCGTGATCCGAGAGTCTTGGGATATTGTGATTCTCAGGCCTCCAGGATAGAGGACTTGAATAAATGGATTATGCTGGATGTTTTATTTCATGTCTCAGGTTCTTGGTGTAATCTAATCAGAAGAGTCCACCCAAGATTGATGATGGCTTGGGGCTGACAGAAAGCCAGGCCCGATCCAATCCCACAGGTATGATGGAACCCGCCCAGAAGCCGATAAATCGCTTAGTCGCAGGATCAAATTATGGAGTAAGATACTCTGGAAGACTAGACAGCGAGCAGAGGAAGATCTGATATTTCCGAATTCAGAATCTGACAGCAATGCGACCGCTGCTTTTTGCGAAAAATTCGAAACTGGTGGTTTGATGACGTCATTTTGGTGAACTTAAGAACATCACCGGGGCATCTCCCAACTGGTACGGATATATTTGATTTATTCCAAATGAATACCGACTAGAAGCATGCAAGGTAATGCAAAATAATTTCCAACTTGAAGGCTGCCTGGGCTGGTGTCATGAACTTGAAGTCCGAATCCTGCTCAACTAGCACATCAGGAATAGCTTCAAATTCGAGTCTTCCATTTTCGAATCCGCTAAGGGTACTTCCGGAGTAAGAAGGAGTACAGTAAGAATAAACTGGGCCAACACACACTGCGATAGCCATCTTCCGAGTCATTTCAGGCTCCATCTCACTGAGGTGGGCTCACCCTTGTCCGCCTCACTCCACTTTACAGTGCGGGGAACTCGCACTGCAAGTCCGGAATTCATTGCTTAATGTTGAGTGGAAAGGGAGATATGAACGGGGTCAAAGGGTGGTATGTCTGCATAATATCCAATGCCTTGCCCCGTACCCCGTACTTTAACTTTAGCCAGACTTGTGCTGACGCGAGTTCAACTCCAACCGAGTTCCGAGCCGAGCACAAGAGAGACACAGAAACAAACAGAGAAAAAAAGGAGGGGCTGAGCTGAAGCCGCGGACCGCCATTTGGGACCACTTCCAGTCAATCAGCTGACGATCACCGAATACTTTGCTTAAAGAAACAAAGTCGATGTGAGGGTCTGATTCTTGATCCTTAATCCCTGTACCTGCAATCCTTGTTGGCAATCCAGCCCGCAGAGTCGAATACATACATAGCCCAACCGGTCGCCCTTGCTTCCATCCTTTTGTGTATCGTTCCCCATATTTGGCACGTACTGCTTGTCTGAGTTCAATTTCATTCACCCATTTCACAATGATTTTCGAGCCGGCCGAACGGGTGCTACTGCCCACCAAGGACCTTTTGTCTTACATTTTTGACGCACCTCCATATGACCAGGACAAGCCGGTATGTCCGATCTTTGCAAGGCCTTGCTATCCTGCCCAACCTTCGCAACTGCTTGCTGATTCTCCACTCAGATCTACATTGACGCCCAGAACCCTTCGCGTTCGATTTCATGCAACGAAGCTCGCAAATTGATCCGTCGTCTCGTTGCTGGCCTCAGAGCTGCTGGCTTGCGCAAAGGCGAGTGCGTGCTTATTCATTCGTTCAATGATGTAGGTGTCAGAAATCTGGGACGATATACTCGTATATGCTCATTTGTCGATCTGATGCTTACATCTCGAATGACTCCCAGATCAACTACAGCATCCTCGTGCTTGCCATCATCGGAGCCGGTGGGGTTTTCACGGGATCAAACCCGGCCTACACCCAACACGAGCTAGCTCACCATATCAAAGCTTCAGAGAGTAAATTTTTGATCTCCGAGCCGGAGATACTTGATTCTCTTCTCCGCGCGGCTGCAGAAACAGGCATCCCTGACCGTCATGTTTGGGTTTTCGACAACCACAACCAGCCAATTCCTTCCAAAAGACAATCCTGGAAAGAGCTTTTGAGCTCCGGCGAAGAGGACTGGGTCAGATTTGATGATCTAGAAACCGCCAAATCCACCACGGCCGCGAGGCTTTTCAGTAGTGGAACAACCGGCCTTCCTAAGGCTGTTAAAATCACGCACTACAATTTGATTGCCCAGCATGAGCTGGTGCTCGGGGTGAACACTCGCCCGTATCCTGTGAGCTCTTCCCCAATCCCTTCTCGGCTATTAAAAAGAAAAAAGAAAGGCCCTGAGCTGATACTATGCCGCTAGATCTCGCGCATCATTGCCGTCCCCGTTTTCCACGCTTCGGCTGCTCCTGTCACCCATATATCCACATTGAAGGAGGGAAATTCGGCCTATATGATGCGAAGATTTGATCTTCAAGGTTTCTTGTCTGCTGTGGAGAAGTTTAATGTCACCGATCTCGCCATGGTGCCCCCCATAGTCATCGCGATTTTGATGTCCCCTCTCTCCCAGAAGCGCCCATTCCTTCGCAAGGTTCGCGCTGCGGCATGTGGAGCCGCGCCTTTGGATAAGGATGTTCAGGCCCGATTCCGCTCAATGATGAGTGAGAGCAGTCCCTTTACGCAAGTATGGGGAATGACAGAAACATCCTGCATAGCAACTATGTTCCCGTTTCCGGAACATGACAATACTGGGTCTGTGGGACGACTCATACCCAATTTAGAGGCCAAGTGAGTTCGTTAAGCGCCCTTGCCCTCCCTATGGTAAAATTTGGAGCAAAGTACTGATGCTTCTTTTTAATTGAAGACTCGTGGATGACGATGGCAATAACATCTCTGCTTATGATGTACGCGGAGAACTGTGTGTTCGAGGACCTACAGTGACTCCGGGATACCACAAGAACCCAGAGGCCAATGCCCAAAGTTTCGATTCGGATGGATGGTTCCATACTGGAGATATTGCCTACTGTGACAAGAATACACGGAAGTGGTATATCGTTGACCGGAAGAAAGAGCTCATTAAAGTCCGGGGGTTTCAGGTAGCTCCGCCAGAACTTGAAGCGGTTCTACTCTCACACCCAGAGATAATTGATGCAGCAGTAATTGGCATAACTATACCAGGTGCCAACACTGAGTTCCCTCGTGCATATGTAGTGCGGCGACCGAAAGAAGATGGGCCTAAACTTACCGAAGAAGGAGTCAAGGCCTACGTACTGGAGCGTCTCGCTCGGTATAAGGCACTGACCGGTGGAGTCAAATTTGTCGGTTCGATTGCCAGAAATCCTAGCGGTAAGATCTTGAAGCGAGTTTTGAGGGACGATGCAAAGAAGGAAATCGAGTCAGGGGCCTTCAAGCCTCACCTTTGAAACTGGATCATCTTCAAGTCGTTATCTTTATCTTATATCATATACAGGAACCATTAAAGTTATCACCAAAAATGCCAAATTTCTCCTGGGCTGTAGGTTATTCTGAATTTCACTTTTCTGTGAATAGTCCCAAGACCTCCAGGGCTCAACTACTAGTACATATATTTCCGCAATTTGGGACGCTGGGAGTGATACGAATTAAGCATACTAGTATTGCTGGCCTTGCTTTGCTAAATTAGAGCACTCATAGATTGAATGGTTGAAGATATATTCGTCGAGCCAGATAAATCACCCAGAATGCTGGTAATGTTTCGGAGAACATTTCCAAGAGACGAATTATTATTATCCAATAGTCCTTGAACTGTGTCACCCAAGACCCCGAGAATTGATACTCTCGTGGTGAGGGTCAGATTGCTCAAAATCTCCTCATAATATGAAATGTGAATGCCGTTATACATCGTCGAGTTCCCAGAGGCCGATAGTTCAATATCACCATCTTTTAATGCATCGCTTTGTGCCTCCATGATGACCTCAAGGTTATCAAGCACGGTATTAATATCCAGGGTTCCTCTAAGTGACACCTTGTTATTCCCTGGGCGAAGCAAAACATCGAGAATAGTTGCTTGGCCAATAACAAGGTCCGAAGTTTTCAGGTTGAGTGTTACATTTCCCTAGATATAATTAGCATGATTCTCCGTGGATAAAGAGGATATCCGACGTACAAGTGCAAACGTAAAAACGGAATGATTAGGTAGAGTTGCAGAGCCAACAATGTTGGTACCGTCTTCTTCCTTGGGCAATAAAAGTTGGACAGAGTCAATAGAAAATCCATTGAGCCTATCAAGACCTTCAAAAACAATTGTAAGTTATGGTATCAGGTGATATGAGGGCTTCAGCTCACCGTCTAATTCAATGTCTTTATCCAGAGTTAACGGTGCTTTCAGAGCTCCGAGATGGCCAACTGTAGAGCCTTTCGCCGAGAGTGTAAACCTTTTGTTGTATACAGCCTTTGTAAGTGTGTCGATGAATTGGGCCTGGTTGAGGATTCTTGCATTGTTCTTTGTCACTGTCATATCTGTTTCGCCTTTTAAGTCATAGGCCGGCAATGCGACAGTGAGATATGGTTCCACAGGCGTAATATCCCTGCTAAAAAGGCTCAGATCTAGAGGGTCTGTATGAATTCGGAGGCCCATTGGAATTTTCAAGGATGTTTGAAGTGTAAAGCTGACTTCTTCGGGTTTCGGGTTTAGAATTTGGGCCCCATAAACAGGAAGATTTGTGTTGTGAACAATTCTCTGCGCGATTGCCGGTACTGCGACCAAAAAGCTAATATTCCAAGATGTCAGCAACATACAAGCCAATTTAATTCCAGCAACCTCTGACGTTGAACTTACAATACAGGCAGGAATATGGCCAGAAATATGATACTAGCAATTGCATAGATGCACCAGAAACGTCGCCAGTGCTTTTGGCAGCTGTCCCGAGCTTTTCTCGTGCGTGAAGGAGACTTCTTGAGTGAATTCACTGTCTCGATATGGCCAACGTCATCCTTGTGGCCCTTGGAGAGTGGCTGTTCATCCTCCAGATATTGACTTGACGAAGATAAGTTGCGGTTATCACCGATCACGAAATTCTGTTTGTTAAAGCGCATGGTCATAAAGAAGAACGGAACTAATATGAACTGAAGGTATGCGAAATGTGATACCGCTGAATATTGATTGATTTTTACGTTTGTTTAGTCTATACCATTTATACCAAACTGAGTAGCACGCCCGGGCCTTTCGCAAAAACAACCCCTCGCCATCTACATGTGGATCAAATGTCAGAATAACTCAGTGAGCGCAGATCCGGGGAAATTTGGTTATAGCGTCAGAGGAAAATGAGCAGATGTGTCACTTTCTCACTCCATTCGTAGCTCTCACTTGCTGCTGCAGAGCCACTCTAGTCGCATGAATCAGGTATCCCTCGGCCTAGCGGCCCGCGGTAAGGCAATTTTTGACTCGTAGTAAGAGCCTTTATACCCCGATTCTAGATGAGAAACTCACCGGTCCGCGGTAGTGTCTTCTGATAAACGGAAATTTCTAAAGGACTAATGGGCATACCAGTAGCAATACACCTTGTGTTCAAAGGTTTGGAAGCATTATGATGGAACGCAACACCTACCATACATAGTACCTGACTACGAAAACACGATTAAATTTAAAAGCCGAACTCTGCCACCTCTCTGCAATATAATTCACAAGATAACCCTCACCAGACCAGTGAAACCTTGTGGACCGGGTGCAAGAACTATATCATCATTCATAGACCAACTCGCAATTAAGCACCCTTGTCAGTTTTTCCGAGTATGTATAGCGAGGAGAAGATCACGGACCCATATACTGGGCCGGAATTGCTTGATGCGCTGGAAAAACCGGAGAAGATACACAAGGTGGTTCAGGAAGCGATATTGCTTGCAGGTGGCGCCGTTGCTATTCTACTCCAAATCGCCGAGCCTGGAGTTGCGCAAGGCGTCGACAACCACAGTAACTTTGCATACCGTCCATTAGATCGCCTTCGAACTACCATGACCTATGTGTATTGCGTTACCTTTGGAACCCGGGAGGAGAAAAAGGCAGTTATAGAGATGGCCCATCGTGCTCATGCGTCAGTGAATGGACCCGGATACTCTGCAGATGATCCTCAACTTCAACTATGGGTAGCCGCAACCCTATATGCCGTTGGAATCGAGCTTTACCAAGGGATGTTTGGCATGTTCGAAGATGCCGACGCAGAGGCTATCTACAGAGAATACTCAGTTCTTGCCCTTTCCCTACGAGTCACTCCTGATATGTGGCCTCCTAACCAGAAAGAATTCTGGAAGTACTGGGATAACCAGATTGCGACCATGGTTGTTACCGATAATGCGAAGAGTGTTGCCAAGGATCTCCTACGAAATGAGGAAGCCCCGCTTCAAATTCGTCTCTTATTACCTCTTGTGCGTCTTATGACGGCTCAGATGCTGCCCGATCGGCTCCGGCAAGCCTATGGTCTCAGAACCAGCAAGGTACGGCGAACGACATATCGGTTCATCATGGGATTAACGAGAGCAACCTACCCGTGCCTCCCAAAGACCATACGAACTTATCCGATGAAATACTATATGCGAGACATGCGGCGACGACTTGAGAATGCAGCATGATGGAACTACGTTGGGTAACAGTGTAAATTTGGCGTTTTACATTTGCAAACTACACGAGCTTCAACGATGAATCCGGGCGAAGATCTATGGCCAAAGGTTTACCTTTTCGATAGTCCCTGGTGGGGTCCCTCTTTGCTTGTTGTGGAGTGTCATATAATTTTCAAGTTATTCACTATAAATGGCCCCGCACGCTGTCGCGATCTACGAGATTCCAGCCTGCCTGTAGTGAAATAAGCTTAGCTCATGTTCTTGGCTGATGAAATATATGTATGTGCAATAGGACTGGTTCGTACGAGTATCCGAATCCACTAAGCTCCTAACCGAGTTCCGCGGCATGTTACTCCACTCCTCGTGGGGAATGCTGCCCAGGTGACCATAAGCCTGTGAAAACGTGGGGCTTCGGTTGTGCCCCACTGATCAGGTCCATCTCCCCATTCTCTGCTGAGGAGAAACTCAAGTGGCTTGGAATTTGGAGAGTAGACCTGTGTATGCTAAAGCCTTCATATGGTGTGAATTCAAATAGGACAATAGCAAATAATTGGTGTATCAGATCATATTTGAGTCCTAGATGGCCCAACCTGACCACCCTTGATCTCATCTTACACTCTCTCCAGGCGGACATCGGTATAACAGTCCGCTTTATCGTTCGTCTTGCCATTATCTCTCTCGATGGCGCCCAAATTTCGTCTGAATCCGAGATATTATGGTATGGGTCACAATCCTTAAGGAATAGCACCGCCATATAGGCTAATAGGCGTCATGAATCATGCGACATACTCTATAAGGTTGAGGGGAATTAAGGGGCTTGACCAAACCTTAGCATGTGATTGCCATGATGCCCAACCAAAATTCACTCAGATCACTTTATGCTTGCGTAATGACAGCCGACACCGGCTTCCCTAGTACACTAACGGCTTCTCGCTGGTCCGTAACCCATTTGACGTCGATTTCAATTTGCAGCTTGCTTCGACGCTGATACCCCCCCCCAGCATCATAAGGACTCGCCATAATGCTACGGAGAACCAGAAGGGCACCTACGGCTTGCTCTTGGTGCCATCATCGCAAGGTTCGATGCGACGCATCAATATTGGGATGTCCTTGTACACGATGTCGACAGGATGGTCGGACAGATTGTGTTCTCCGTGTGAAGTTACCAAAGTAGTGCAGCCTGCTCTGATTGTATCAGATTGGATTCTAAAGTATGACAGCAGACTGAGAGCCTCGCCAACTCAGGCCTATCCATCCTTCGACTGCTCTTTCACGAAGCCTGATTGCACACAAGAAATCAATTTCGGCGGTCCAGGAAACAACGCATCGAAACTAAGGATATGTGAATCGCAGTCTCGATTTTCAACAAGCCCCGAAATTGAAAACCCCCTATCTGAAGAGTACCAGTTCCTGCACTATGATCTATTTTCCTTATCATCCGAAGACAAAGCATTCCTCTTTGCCAAGGGTTCATTTTCTTTGCCTAATCGAGAGCTGGCAACACACTTCGTCGAAAAGTTCTTCCAGCGCATCCATCCAGTTGCTCCTGTTATTGATGAGGCTCAGTTCTGGCTTATATGGGACGGGAAATGCGAGGAGCAATTTTCGCTTTTCCTCTTCCAGGCATTGCTTTTCGCGAGCTGCCCCGTGAGTTATTGAAATTGACATAATTTTCAAGTTTTTGGGCCATGCGCTAAGGAGATTTTGCAGTTTGTTCCAGTAGAAGTCCTTCAGGAATGTGGATATACTAATAAGAGAGATGCTCGAAAGCAGCTTTACGATAAAGCGAAAGTAAGACTAGAAATTTTGATATATTTGAGAAGTTGCTGGCTAATGGCATGAAAAGCTGCTATTCGACTTGAATGCCGAGACAAAGCCGTCGGTTAAGGCCCAGGGTGCTGTACTTCTCACCCATCATACCTCAGCCGAAGCCCCTCAGGCGGGAAGTTTATGGCTTACACGTGCAATTGAAAATTCCATAATGATTGATTCCCATCCATCCGTCAGCGTGGAAAGTTTCCCACAGAACCTAAAAAGACGTGTTTGGTGGACAATATTGATACGTGACAGGAGTCTTTGTATTGGACTGCGCCGCCGCCCACAGGTGGCTTCGATCGATATCTACGGATGCCGAGATTTGCCGAGCGAGGCTGACTTTGGAAAGGAGCTGCATAGTTCAAGAGTCCATGGATATGATACCAAAATACAGTTACTCACCGCCCTTCAAGAGCAATGTGGCCTAGCTGTTCTCCTCACAGACTTGGTCTCCTTAGTATTCACTCCTGCGGTGATGGCAAGAACCGAATCATCGGTGGCTGAGCTATACAGAAAGTTGAAGCGAGTCGAAGATATCAAACAATCTCTCAGTCTGTGGGAAATCCAAGTCCAACCTCCACCAAATCCACATGTTCATTCAACCTTTGAAGATGCAGCGGGGGCATTGAGAAGCTTGACTTTCATGTACTATCGGTAAGCCCATCCGCTCCACTTCCCACCAACTAGTGTTATACTACGGTGAAATTAGCGTTCTAACAACATCTCCATGGTATAGAGCTGCCCAGGTCGATCTTGCGCAGTATGCGGCTCTTCTTCTAGAGGAACAAATCTCTTCCTCAACCGAGCTGTATGAGAACTACATAAATCAGATTGCAAGAGATCTGGCGGTGGGAATTTCCGGCTTGAGTAATGTCATGGAATATTTCAGTGCCAATGGCAATGTGGAGGACTTGCCACTTAGCGTGTTAGTCTGCCATGCACGTCCATCTATGAATGAACAGTGCGAAGTCACAGTCTGCGATGATAACTTAGCTAATGTCTCGGCATTTCTTCATAGACTAGCATATGCTGCAATGCCACTTGTCTTGGCAGCAATTGATCTCAAGCTTTCACCATCCTCTCGGGAAACACAAAAACGACAAAAAAGGTTAGACTCCATCAGCCGAATCATTCGACATTCAGAATCGCTGTACGACGTTACGGACTTTGTGGCAGTGGGGACCAATCAAATATTACAGTTGGCGTATTCAGTAACACGAAACATATTCCTTTCGAGCGATTCAAAATTACGGATCAGGCCTGAGAGCGACCAGCTAGATCTCAAAGTCCAGAAGCAGCGTAGCCATGGTTCACGTGGCCGGGCCAAAAGTTGGTTCGATGCCTTTCTCAGCTGTCCTCGTGCGTACCTCTTGATATCAACTTCTGTGGATTACAGTCTTGCAGTAGGCCGTCTTCCCTGTCACGACTCTCTTCCTCTGTCGGTTCAACAGCTGCCTCCAAGCAGCGGCATTGCTCGGCTGCCATGGTCAACCGGTCTAACCATAGAGAATGAAATGGGTTGTGAGATCTTTGGGAAAGATGAAAGAAATACCAAAGCTCACTCGGCATCGGTAAGGTCTACGAGCACCGTCGCGGTGACAAACAATACACTAACCATATACCATTATCTGCAGCCAAATGGGACTCTTCACGGCCAATATAGACAGGAATGTCACGACCAAGGGCTTCCCCACGGAGATGAATGGCCCACGTACCCAGAATTTGGGGAGAAGGATGAACGGAGCGATTACAACCACCCCGTGACTGTCAATCTTGATTTCTTGGATTTTGATTTCGGGCTCAGATCGCCAGCCCAATCTTCTCTCTGGCACTTAACAGTGTCTGACCACACCGAATTTCCACCGCTAGCTTTCACGTCCCACAAGTACAACAAGCTAGGAAATGCAGATTGTACATACCCTTAAGATGCCATGGCATGGCGGCCCTGGATCATGCAGCTCACTCATGATTGCCGCATATGGCAGTGAGCTGAGGTAGCAATCAATTACCTCGAATACTGTCCAATTAAGTTCTATTCAAGTACTGGTATATATTGACTTGATACAAAGTAACCGAGATCTTGAATTCATGCAGATGCTCCATACATTGGAAACTTGAACCTGCTGGTGGAATATTCAGCTGGCTTCCACTACCTATACCTCGCCTTCCATTGCCATCGCTGTTATCCATCATTCCGTCCATCTAACTCCCTACATGGACAATGGATAGTATCCACCTTGCAGCTTCCCTTGGCAAAACACCAGTACTGCCTCAATTATTCAATTAAGCGCTTGCTGAAAAGGACTAGATTGTGTATATGATCATCGCCGTAGTCGGCCTTTGATCGATAATGCCTGTATATACCTATACACGCACATCTGGATAGGCAGCCGGAAAGTCAATTCTATCAATATGGTTAGTCGGGGTGTCACCGCGAAGTTTATCCTGGATAACCTACTCATGCGGGCATTTGATCACAGCAAAACAGCCAACATGAAGAGCTTGAAGAATATGTGATGAATGCGCGCGTATATAGACTTGCAGAATATTATTTTTCATATAAAAATCGGCTCAGGTGGCACCACCTTAGGTTTCAGCCACCTAAGATCCGCCGCTGACAAGTGACTGACAGTATGAACTTCAAGGGTTACGTGAGTACTATGTCCATCCATAACTGACCGTAACCGCCATCTCCCACCCGTAAGGAGTACGCGACTAGCTTACATGCCAGCTCGCTCACCAGTTACATTATTGCCAAAGTCAGTTGAGATTACATTTAATCTAAACAGGCCGTGAATTTGAACCAGGGTTGGAGTGATCATCAACTCACTTGGATCTCATTTGAACCTTGTATCTGGGCAGTCGAAGGACGGTGACGTTTCCAAGACCCGTACAATATCAAGGCCGAACTCGCCCTAGGTGATTTGCCACGCCACTCGATCCCTCCATCCCAGCGATGGGTCAAGAATATCCAAAAGTTAAACTTGTGAAATACGGATCATCTTTATCTTATCAAGGGAATGGTGGTCGGGCGCCGTTTCAAAATACGAAAAGCATTTCCCAAGACTCCGGTATCGGGTTGTGCAGAAGAAGAGATAATCGCTGAGTTGACAAGATTTTGCTTGATTTAGGACAGCTCAAAAAGAAACGTGCAAAGTATACAAGGAAGTTAAGGCTGGCCCAGGCCATGGACGAGATAACATTATCCATGGACAGCCCACCCTGGGCCAACTTCGGTGCCTTTTCATCGGCGATTTAACTGTCTAAAAACGCCTCGTGGTGGCATGGTCCAATATGAATTGCTGCGTGCTATCGGGGTTATCAGTTGAGCGTATTGCTTGAGCGCAATGCAGCACTCGTGGAGAAAGTTCATGCAGATACGAGGAGGACGCAGCTATGCAGAATTGGGCGAAGCTAAGCGAAAGCGTTTGAAGATCAAGGTCCCCTAGCTATACCGAGAAAATGCAGGAATTGCCCTCGGTGCACCTTGGGCAATTCTAATTCACGGAGAATAAAATTAGGTCATTTGAGTGAGATCTCTTCCACGGATCTGCACGTCGCGTTTTGGGCTCCTTTCCGGCAAATCGTCACTCTCGACCACTTAGCTCCAACAAGGTCCCACCTTTCTTACTCTGGGGAACCGGAACGGCAGCACAAAAGGCTTTCTTCTTGGCAGCTGTGGGGCAAATTAATATTCGTATTCCGCCCGGGAGAGCCCAGTACAATCTTATTTTGGACAGGGACAACGAGCCTTAGCAAATAAGCGGCGAACGGGAGGCCACGCTTATTCTGCTGGTGTCGATCGCCCGGCGCACGACCCGATACTTTCAGACTCGTTACAGAGCTCGATCGGGCCCTTGCGTTACGAAGTCAATCTGAACAGAACCTGATGCAATCGCGCATGTTTCACGTCTGCATACTTTCCTTTCAATGGATCTAGTCCTCCTCAAGTTGGTAATGGCCGTCGACTTTCCATTATTAGTGCTCCACTCTTGGTCACTCCATATGCACATCGGAAAAGCAAATTCTAAAAGAACAGTCGAAAAGGTTAGCTCGCTGGCCTAGCATGGCAATGTTTCTATGAGTGGCCGTTGATATTTCGGAATATAAGTGATTGCCACTGTCACCACCGGGCGAAGCCCGATTTAAAGCGGGAGATATATCCAAATTTGATTTAAGGATTGGCCTTTCCACCAGCCAAGCCGGCTTGGCAGACATAAGCGGATCCAACCTCCACTCCTACCCGTTCACTATGAACGACCTTAATGGTAAATCAGTGTCTGGGCAAAAAAGCCTTCGCTCAGCTTGCGATCTCTGTCATCAGGGGAAAGTCAAATGCGGTGGAGGAATACCCTGTGAGGGATGTCATAAACTGGGCCTCAAGTGTACTTACAGCATTTCCAATCGCACTGGTCGGCCCAAGGGGGTAAAGAACAAAAGGACTCTTGAAAGAATCAAGCAACTGCGTGCTGCCAATGGAAGCGAGCAACAAGAAAGGGCACCTGGCAGCGTAAGTCGGGTTTATGCAGGAAATCTCCATGGCGATCGGGGTGCTGACCGAATACTTCCCCTTTAGAAGCAAGCCACATCTGCTCAGATCAGCCGTCAATCTTCCCTCACGCAGGCTTCATCCAATGAGGCCTCCGACCAAATATCCCCTCTGACAACTCCAATTCTGTCAGGGCGCACCAGTAGTTCAGGAGATGCGAATCTCAATTCGTGGGCGGAGGGCAGCTCAGCTCAGTTCTGGAATCTCTTCTCCGTGTCTGATTCTTCACATGCCAATTCAGAAAGCTCGGAATTCTCAGTATGCCATGTCCAAGGTTCTCATGTTCCGTGATATATTCCAGCTAACTCGGGGATTAACTTGTCTTAGGAGCCACGTTCGGGCAATGCGCGAAGCCCCTCCTCGTCCCTTGCGTTTCCTTCAAGTGAGATGACGGACAACCTTTCTCAGGACCTCTCTTGGATCAGATCTCTCCTGAATACCCCCGACCTGACGATTCCACCTCTGGATAGACATGGCGACACCCCCAAGCTCCCGCTTGCTACCGATCAATATAGCCCCAAGACTCCAATTCCCACATCCAGCCATCTTAAATCAACAGCATCACACGCACCTCAGTTAAATTCATGCAACTGCTTCCAACAACTGACCGAACAACTTTCAAATTTCAAAGCGCTCAGTCACTCCCTTGGTCAGTTACGATCGGATTTTATTCTCACACTAGCTAGAGACGCACTAGCAAGGTGGCAGACACATCTAAGCTGCCCTAGCTGCCAACATAACGAAGATAAGGACATTCTTATATTGTCAGTCATGGCTCTTCGTGCTCTTTTGAACTTGGTCAAGGAGGTTGGTCAACATGAGCTTCAATCACCACATCATGCCACTGGTGATGAAGATATCGGCGTGTCTTCGGAATTATTTGACGCTGATCACTCTTGTCTTGGCACATATCGGCTTGCTTGCGAGGAGAGGCGCATAGTTGTGGATCTTCTTCTGCATCGAACACTTAGAAGTCTTAACCAGACAACTGAGCATCTGAGACAGAAGAGCTTAAGAATGGCAGGAAGCTACGCTAGGAGAAACACAACATCAAATTTATCTTCTCGATCCGAAAGCTCCGTCTCTCTTCCCGCCATGAGTTCTTCCGTCTCTTGCATTCTCCCTGATGATCTGAGCATCGACGGGGGAGCGCATGACGTCGGTTTGAAAAGAGACAAAGTGTCCTTAGATGAGCACGATAATTACTTACAGGAATCTTTGCAAGGATCAACAGCGACTATTGAGTTTCTTCTGGTTAAGCTCCAATCCCATGATATGAACCAAAGAACTGACAACTCTGAGATCTTTGGATTTTGAATGAAATAATTTTGATGTCATTTTCGTTTCATTGGGTCGTTTTTGCCTTAATACGCTTCATCGATTTTCACTTTGGTGCTACCGGCGTTAGGAACAGGACGACGATTACCCACTTGTATATTACATTAGAATTTGATGGTCCTAGAGCTTCACAAATCCTTTTTTGATTTCTTTAACTTAGATGAATGTTAGTTCTATGGGCTTCTTAATGTATTCTCTCCCGCCCTTCCTTCTCCCCTTTCAATTTCACGACGGTTTCCTGAATGTCCTAGCTGTCGAAGTCTAGATAAAGCATTTTACCATTCGGCTTGCATTACTTGTCTAAAGCTATTGTCTCATGATGGTTATTTGCCCGAAAGGCTTGAAGCGGTTCTCTGTGGGCTCGATAGTAGCCTGGTTCGAATTTAGCGAGGAAGGAGACCAGCTGGGCGCTCAACCTCCAAGAGGTTGGTACTACCAGGCTTTAGGCCATCTGATCATTAATTAGCGGGCTGTAGTAATTCGTACTGTGGGTTAACAGCTAACTAGGGGTTGAGCCATGGTCTGGATTCAATGGTTAAATTTATAACAACTTTGTCCAAAAGTCGCTCAGGAAGGTATCACAAAGTGAGATAAGCTTAATGAGGTATTTGAGATGCTCCAGCGCAAAGGGGTCGAAGTTATTCGCATACATAGTAAACTTATCCTTGAAAGATGGAAGCACTGGCAAGAGACTTATAGTGAACGAGGGAGTTAACCCCGGGGCCTGTCACGAAGGTCCTTCGTTCCTGCCAGTTAGTTAGTTACTTCGGGCTATGTAGTAGTCTGCCAGTCCTTCCAGACAGAAAATACGATTTTCCTAACTGATACAGGCACCTCTCGATTAAATCAATTCCGGAGCACACCCCTAACCAGTATTCGGACACCCCAAATCCCTAAGTAGGAATGGCACAGCATATATAATACTAGGGATAATACATATTGCTACCACACCAACGTTTTGAGGGTGTTATTTTAAGCCATTACATACTATAGGTTGTGTAACAGTCGTCGTAGAGGTGGAATACCCCATATTGTATATGGTCGGAATCGTAAGTAATCACAGGTATAGAGGCCCTCAAGCACTAGAACCTTGGAATAATATATGATACAGAGGTTACTTTCCTTTATATTATAGCTTTGAGCAATTCAGCATCACAGTAATATATAATAGTAGTTTATAGTCGATAAAGCGCCCGCGATAGAACTGTAGAGTTGCGAATAGCTTCATTTTCCGCCCAATAAGACAGCTTTTTAGTAGATTATAACTTCGCTGAAATAGCTTTCTATACGATATACGAATAATAGAACATAAAATACTTTGATAGTTCAAACATCTCCCGCTCGCAATACAAATTGTATAGTAAGCAGGAGAAAGTAGTGCTATCGATACTTTAAGGATTCCACCACCACCTACATACAAATGGCTAAAAAACACTCTCAAAACAGCAGTATAGCAACAATACAAATTCTCCTAGTATCACATATACCATACTACGCCAAATTGGGCTCAGAGAGTATTCAAATAGGTAATAGAGGTATCCAACCACTAGTTCTCCAATTCCGCTGTAGTCCATCCGAAGAAGGGTTTTACATGGCTGGATCAGGGAGATTTACAGGGTTAAAATCTGAAAACAAATATGCGGCTTAAACATTCTGTTCGTAAGTGTCAACTAAAAAACAACTAGATAAGCTAGTATACTACTTGTAGTGGTATATAGTCATCATAGGTATATCAGCTATAACGACCGTGACTTAAATCCTTGTGGCACAAGCGTACATGTGTACGAATATGTGACAGCGTAGTAATGTTCTTCAATGCTGTAGCACCTTAAATGTTAAAATAGCTGCCCAGGTGGGAATACAAATCTGGTGCATCTACCAGTGGCAAAATCTTGAAATGCTGGTACTCGTATATCTATGCCCATTGATGAGATTCACCGAACCTGGAATGAGTGAATTGCCGTGTCTTTCAGGTTCCTGTCATTTACTTTCGTGCTGTGCTTGATTTGCACTCCCGAGGTCTTTGATAATAGTACTATTCAAACTCACAGACAGGTCTTGTACATTAAATAGTGAGTGGTTACGTTTCAGGTTGACATTCCAATAGTATTGATATTCTATCCAGAAATATGTACTGCAATTATGTTATTTCATCAGCAAATTATCTTGAAGCTTGCCATATTGGCGGACTGGGTTATCCTTAGATCAAGCCTCAAAGGCGTGTTTGATTCTTTGATCAGCAAACCAGGAGTTCCGCCTTAAGCAATCTTTTGGTATTACTATTGTTATTTTAAGAAGAGCAGAATGATGCTGTCATCCTTTGCCCTCAGATTGCCCACTCAGACCCCACTCATAACACGCACATTCATGAACGACCTAAGTAGGCCGCTGATCTGAACTGGTGGCGTCGTATCGTGCCGTAATCTTCAAGATCCTGCTGTTCGCTTTCAGGGACTCGACCGGAAATCTCAGCTCTCTGTGCCTGGTTTTGGTTTCAGGAATGCGCACCGAATTTTCTGGCTTTGAAAATAGGTCGGAAGATAATTATAGGGTAAGGATTGTCATTGTCAGTCTAGTGAGCAAAACATATACAAAATACCGCAATCAAATCGACCAAGTAAGCATGTTATCAACGCAATCTAGAAATCTACGCAAAGATGGACGCCCCATGAACAGACCATGGTGAGTCCTATGTCTCGTCAACCTTGCCGTACTACTCATTTGAAGCCATCTGGGGAAGCAGACTTGACTTAAGCGCGATCTTCTCCGCCAGTGTCGAGATAGGGACACTCGAGAGGATTTCAAACACGGTCACCCTGGTTTTGATTTCGCGGAAAACCCAGTTGGCCACTTCGACTGCAACGAGCGAGTCCACGCCAAACGCATGCAGCGGTCTCGAAGTGTCAATGTCCGACACGGCGCTCTGCAGCGATTTGGCCACGCGCGCGACAAGAGCGTCCATCACAGCCGCGCTTGCCTCGGCGATGGAGGCAGCCTGCGCAACTTGGCTCTGGATGGACACGGTCTTCTTTTCTGAGGTCTCCGCCCCTCGCCCCCCGTGACGCCGGTCAGGGCCAGGATTGAGAATCGTGAGTCGTCAAAATACCAGGGTCGGCTGATTCCGGTATCTTGAACCGTTCGCCCGGTGGCAAATCCAGTTGGGATCTGGGCAGGAGTGTGGCCAGGGTTATCCAGCTCTCCAGCTAGTACGTTTTCGACCAGGGCGTGAAATTCAGCCTCTCTAATGCCACATGGCTCTGCCCATTCGCGCAGATTGTCGGTGAGCCCAGTCTCAGCGAGAACGCCGACGTCACGCATGATGCCGAGGTCTAATGTAACGGCTTTGAGACCTTGTGAGCGTCGATATTGTGCAAGGGCATCTTCGTATGCTCCCGCCGCTGCATAGTTGCTTTGACCGTGGTTACCAAAGACACCCGCAAACGAACTCAGCGTGAGGAAGAAATCGACGTCGGGAAGGTTGGTGTGCAGGTTCCACGAGCCTTGCACCTTCGGACGGGTCGACTCCTTCCATTCGTCATAGTTCATCTTCTCAAAGAGAGCGTCGCGAAGGACCATGGCGCCTTGAACTACCCCGCGGACAGGGCCGAGCTCCGTAGCACATTTTGCGATGGCATCGGCTGTAGACTTGGGGTCTGATACATCACATCGAATGACAAGCACCTGGACTCCTTCCTGCTGGAGATTTTCGATCACCCTCTGCGCATCTATGCTAGCAGTTCCTGAACGAGAGAGGACACAGAGCTTCCTTGCTCCCATACGCACAAAGTGCTGACACAAGCTGCGGCCGAGTCCACCAAGTCCACCCACAAGGATATAAGAGCCAATTTCATCCAGCTGGACAGCGCGAGGGGCGGAGCTGACGACAGGAACCACGTCGGAGGCAGAGTAGGTCAAGACTAGCTTCCCACGATGCTTGCCAGCCTGCATGAGACGGAAAGCATCTTCCATCTGAGAGATGGGGTAAACGGTCAGGGGCTGGACGGGGTGTGTGGCCCCGGAGCTGAGCAAAGCCATCGCCCCACTCAGAATCTCATTCATCAGCTCGGGACGCTCCTTCATGACGCGGTTGAGGTTGAAAAAGACAAATTTAGCGTCTTGGAGGAAGGGCCGCATGTCCAGGCGCATATTCCCCAGGATGTCTTTCATGCCGATCTCCACAAAGGTGCCGAAGGGGGCGATGCAGTACCAACTCTGGCGGAGGGCTTCTCCGGACAACGAGTTTAGGATAACGTCAACACCTCGTCCGCTAGTCATGCGCTTCACCCCCTTCACGAAGCTCAGGTCCCGGGAGTTGAAGATGTGGTCGTTAGGGATGCCGTAATGGTCTTGTATCAGCTTCTTTTTGTCACCGGAGCCCACGGTCGCAAATATTTCCAGGCCCAGATGCTGGGCGAGCATAATTGCTGCTTGGCCAACACCACCAGCTGCCGCGTGGATGAGGACCGATTGGCCTTTTTGGGCCTTGGCTATCTCCATGAGGGCGTACCACGCAGTGCCATGGACCAACAGCACCCCGGCTGCTTCTTCGAAGCACATGGTGTCGGGGATTGGCATCGCATACTGGGCTCGCACTCGATAGATTGTGCGATGAGCTCCGTGACCGAGGAAGGCAACTCGGTCCCCAATCTCTACGTTTGTCACATTCTCACCGACCCGACGGACGAGTCCGGCAGCCTCGAACCCGAACAGCTTATCGGGAATTTGGCCCATCGCGACCATAACATCGCGGAAGCTGTAGTGAGTAAGTAGCTGTAGAGTGAAAGGAAGGAGACGAAAGGAAACAAATCACTTACTTGACTCCTGATGCTTTCACCTGAACTTCAATTTCGTCAGGTGCTAGGGGTATCTCTGGACTAGTATCCGGCTCAAACCAGAGCGAATCTAGCATACCGGGATTACTGATACCCAGCTTTACTGGACCAGGGGTAGCATCCAGCGGCATCATCTCTGCTGTGCTGTCTCGCTTGCCGAGCATTGTCGCCAGGATCTCATTCCGGCGTCGGTCCTCTAACATGCGACTGACTTTGATGATACCCCCGTCAGAAATGAATTCGTCGTCCGCGAGGGAAGATTGGAGGACTCGGAGTATCATGCTTGCAAATTCATGGGAGAATTCGAGCGGCGTGCCATTAACCTGAAGTGTTCGAAACTTGATACCAGCAACCTCGTTGCGCACACTGCGCGCCAGACCACTAATCAAGTGAGAGTCCGGGCCCAAGGCACCACTGACCCAAAGGAGACCTTCCGCTTGGAGGATCATCTGCTGAGCGGCGTGGAAGTCGGCACTAGAGACGTCCTGGAGTAAAGCCTTTTCAAGATCGGTGAGAACAATACACGACTTAGAGTGCAGCTGAGCAACATCTGATCCCCATCGGAAGGGGATAGTACGTATTGAGAGCTTCTCAAGCTCCCGGCAGATCTGAGATGCCACCTCCTGAGCAGCGGGCGACGGCTCGCATGCCTCGACGAGGAAGATCTCCTTTGCAGGGATGCTGATAGCTGGGCTCGGTGCTTGAGCCGCAGCGACTGTCAAGCGGAACTGCTTCTGGCTATCTTCAAGGGCAAAATGGTTCGTGAGGCCAGCTCGCTCCAACCAGGGCTGACAGGCCTTATCCAACCATCTATAACCTGTTAGCGGTAGTCAAATTGCTCATTGGATGGCTCTGCTGACCTGTCCCCCTGAATGCTTCCTAGGATCGTCCCCAGCTGTAACTGTGGCTGGTCAATGTCGACAATGCAAATGCGACCTGTCTCCTTCAACAGCTTCACGGCGTTGGCAACGATAGGGCCTGGGCTGGAAGTGGCTAACTTGGTATTAAACAACAAAACGAAATCGAATTTCTGTTGAGATGCCGTTGTCTCAAGTTTTCCGATGTCTTGCACATCGATGTGGACCCGGCTTTTCAAGGAGCCAAACTGGTCAGCAGCCGCCTGTAAGCTCTCGTGTCCGCCTGATAAGGTGTACTGTCCTGTTTCCAGGAACTTTGCTGCGTCTTTGAGTTTAGACACCAGAGATACGGGGGGGAGTTCGCCGCCACCGAGATCAATTTCAAGGATCGAGAGACCGGGATTGGAATGGTGAACCAGGCTGAGATACTGTTGCGCGGGTCAACCCACAGGGAACACACGAAAATAAGCCTTCATAGAATCCGTGATCTAGCTTACCTCGTTTAATTTTCTCAATATTTCCTCAAAGCCCGCAGTCTCCGACAGGAGACGGCCAAAAAGTGTACTGTCGTTCCAAAGCATCTTGGATGCAATGACCTGGCCCTGTAAGATGCCCGAGAGATTCTCTCCGATCAGACGGAAAGCGCTGTCGCTGCCTCTCCCCACGGGTTCTGATTGTAGTCTGCTCGAAGAGACGTGGTTCTGAATCCAGTCGTAAAAGCTTTGAAACGGCGTGCTTACCCGCCCTCGGGGCACATTGGTCAGAACTTCCTTCAAGAGGGTAAGCACTGCCTGGTCCAACGACGGTTCTTTCGCAGCGATATCTTCCGGCTGCCCGTCCACCACAGCCTGGAGCTCTTCCAAGCTCAAGATCTCAATAGCGGGTTTCCATGACACTTCACAAGTGATGGGCTTGACAACACCGGTTGCACCGTGACCATCGTCGGATTGGGCGCTGGCTCCAGATATATCTGAGCACCGGAATCCTTTAACGCGAACCATGGGCTTGGAGGAAGCCCTATCGAGCATCTCGATATTCGTCAACATATCACGCAATCCGTGCTGGGCGGAATGGGCGTAGCCATGCAGGACCGTCCCCGGAGTATGCGCAATATCAGCCCGTACCATGATCTCGTCGATCTGTGTGGGGACCATCGCGCCACTGAAAGCGTCAGGTTCATTGTGGATAGCGGCGAAGGCTAAGTGGAAGATGGCATCCAGCGTGCTCGGGTGGATGATATGTGGGCGATTCTGACGAGAAGCTGGAATCGTGGATTCGATCTCGGGGATTGTCAGAGTGCTCACACAACGGGTTTCATTCTCAGCCGTCTGAATCTCAGTAATATTGGCGAACGTGGGCCCATATTGCAACCCCAGGGCTGTGAGATGGGCGTAGAACTGGTCAACGTCTCAGGAACTTGCTACACCGCTTTTTCAAGGCGAGGAAGTCGTCTTGGATGGCTGCGATCTCCGTGTCTCTCTCCAGGGACATGGCCGAGCCTGTAGCGGAGGCGTATTCCACCATCAGCAGCCCAGAGCAGTTCTGTCGCAGGTCGTTCCCGTCAGTGCAAGATGAGACAGTGAACTCCATCCAAGACGAACCCGAGTCCAGTGTGCTCGTCAAGTGTGGTCGTATAGCTAGGATCACCTCTGGCTCTGTGTCCTCTTCAATGACTAGTGCGGCATCAATCTTGATATCTCGCATGCAGAACCCGCTAATCTCCCTGTCCGAATCTGCTTCCTGCCGGGCACCTTCGATTGCCATGGCTAGAAACCCGGCTGCGGGATAGATAATGGATCCTTGAATGACATGATCGCGCACCCATGGCTCCTGGGAGACACGAACATAGCCTCTCCAGAGTCTCTCGCGCACGTCCATGGTCGGGCAAGGGGCCCCCAGGAGCGGCAGATGGGGGTGTTTGCGCAGGCGGTATTCCCGGCCCACGCGAGACTCGGCCCAGTACTTGATCGAGTGGTTCCAGGGGTAAGCAGGCAGGTCAATCAGCACTTTGGCTCTGAGATCCGACGCATCTTGGTTGACGTTGCTAATATCCACGGGAACGCCCTCCGCGAAGAGAGCACCGGCACAGCTCAGAGAAGTGGTCACCCCATGCTTACCGCGCGACAGGACGCTGGAGTACTGGACACCAGAGATTCCGAATGTCTTCATGGTTTGGCTGGCGGGGCCCTGCAGAGCCGAATGTGGACCAACCTCCACCAATATATCAATTGCATTGTCCGTCGACCGCTTCTCGTCGATCAAAGGCCGGATCATATCGTGCACAGCATCAGCGAACTGTACTGTCGACGTAAGATTTTGGACCCAGTTTACAGGACCAAGCTCGTCAGAGCTGATAGCGCAACCGTGGACACTTGACGACATGCGACAGCCGCCCCTAGCTGACATGGTGGATATGTCGGCAATGGCCTCGAAGTACTGCGCTGCAATCATCTGCATGTGCGGAGAGTGATAAGCAGTGTCGACTTTCAACTTCCGGGCGAAGACGCCAGCTTCCTTCAACTGGACTTCGAGCTCATCCACACCAGCTGCATCTCCTGACACCGTGATCGTGGTCGGAGAGTTAACACAGGCGACAACCACGGTGCCCTTTGTCAATTTTTCCAACCACTTCGCAGCCGCAACGGGGGTCGCACCGACAGCCATCATGGCGCCGCGCATGGATGTATCAATTTCTTTCATCTCCGCAGACAAAACACCCCGGAAATAGGCCGCCTTGAGTGCATCCTGGCGAGATAGGGCGCCCAGACAGTAGGCAGCGGCAATCTCGCCACTTGAATGGCCGGCCACAGCAGATGGGGAAATATTCCAGGAGTCCAAGAGGTCGACAAGGGCAATCTGCAGAACCGAACAGAGAGCTTGGCTGTAGGCAGCCTGGCCCAACTTGGACGAGTCATCCGGTCTCGCCAGCTCTTCAACGGCGGACCAGGGACAGTCCAGTTCCTGGCGCAGATACCGATCCGATTCTTCGAAGCTCTGGCGGAAGACCTCGTATTCCATGAGTTCCACTCCCATGCGCGCCCACTGCGCTCCTTGGCCGGTGAAGATGAAGCCGAGCCGTGGCACTTGCGTCGCACTCCGCACCTCTGGCAGGGACCAGGGCTGCTCTCGTAGCGACTGGGACAGTCCGTCGATGGTGGAAGCGATGGCATAAGTCTGCCACTGTAGGCGTGAACGTCTCTTGCTCAGGGTGTACGCGAAATCGCGGAGATAGTTGTCGGCATTCTCCCAGATTCCCTGGAATTCGTCTGCCTTAGCGGAAAGATGATCGGCCAGCACTGTCCGCAATCGCTTCAATCCTTCCTTGTCCTGTGCACTGAGGCAAAAGATCAAAGGTTGGCCCCTGGGATTGCTAGGGCTGCTATTCCAGTCCTTGGCGCTGTTGGAGATGGCAGACTGCAGAGACCCGAGCAGCTTGGTGTTGTGGACTCCCCTTAAGCTCCGTGCCTCAAGATAGTGGTAGGCGTCGTCCATCACGATATGGCCATTGGTTCCACCATACCCGAAGCCCTGGGTGCTCACCCTGCGGAGCCCCTGAGTAGGCCATCGTGTGAGAGTGGTCGGGACCTTGAGCTTCCATTCATTCCATTTTACTTCCGGGTTGGGCGTTTTACAGCTCGGGGTGGGAGGGATCATGCCAGTCTCCAAAATGGCGACGCATTTGATGAACGCGGCCATCCCGGCGCAAGCCTCCAGGTGACCAACGTTGGCCTTGACAGAGCCGACGAGCAGGGGCTCTGACGTGGTGCGGTATTTGCAGATGGTTCTGAAGAGTGCCTCAGTTTCACCTAGCCGATGTCAGTTTTAGATCTTCGCCTGAAGTTGATTGTGGTCGATGCTACATACATTTGTCTCCAGCTTGAGTACCCGTGCCGTGAGCTTCGATATAGCGTGTCTCCTCCATGGACAGGTTCGCTTTGTGGTAAACCTCGTTGATCAACGCCGCCTGGGCGTCGGGGCTTGGCAAAGTCAGCCCCTTGGTGTGGCCGTCCTGGTTGATGGCGGTGCTGCGAATGACAGCGCGGATGGGATCACCGTTAGCCAGGGCGTCCGCCATGCGCTTGAGGACTACGACGGAGGCGCCCTCTCCACGTCCATACCCATCAGCGCTCTCATCAAAGGCCTTACTCTTACCATCCTTGGCCAGAAAGTGCTGGTTCGAGAGGTACATGAACATATCTGGGTTAAGCAGCAGATTGGTACCACCCACGACGGCGGCGCTGGATTCGCCGATAGAGAGACTCTGAACAGCCAGATGCATGGCAACCATTGTTGAGGAACAGGCGGTATCTAGCGTAAAGCTGGGACCTTTGAAGTCAAAGAACCAAGACACACGATTGGAAACGGAGGTACTGCTGGTACCAGTGGCGGTATACATGGGTGCCGACTCAGAGTCACGGAAGACCTGCTCACGATAGTCGCTGGTGAAGTTACCCATCCAGACGCCTGTCTGCGTACCAGCAAGCTTGGAGACTGGAAGTCCAGCGTTCTCCATAGCCTCGTACACAGTCTCCATTGCCATCCGCTGCTGCGGATCCATGGACTCGGCCTCGACCTTGGAAATGTTGAAGAAATTAGCGTCGAAAGCGGCAATATCCTGCTTCAAGAAATGCGCCCCTCGAGGCAGGCTAGCGTTTGCTTTCTTGCCGGGGAAGCAGAAGGCATCAGGATTCCAACGCTCGGGGTTCTCGGAGTATGCGGACCGTCCTTTGCAAATGAAGTCCCAAAAGTTTTGGACGGAGTCGGCCTCGTCGGGAAACCGACAAGACATGCCGACCACGGCAATGTCCTGAACCCACGACGTCTCCGTTGGCGCCATCATGGAGGGGTGATCCGTTGCTTTTGCTCAGCCGGATGATGTGAGAGCCCTCCAGTGACTGTTTTGGCGCGTGCTAATTGAGGAACAGTGAGAAGATGTATTCGAGTTGGATTCCCAAGGCACGATGTGTGAGACGGGGGAATATGATGATACCTACCTAAGGTATATTGTTATAGCTCAAAGGTTTTGATAGAGGGTTGGAGCTTCAACGCCGGGCTGACCCCCAGACCCGATGGGGACGTATTCGTGTTGGATCGTCGGTGGCTTGTATGAACATGACCGAAGACGGCGCAAATGTACATATCAGCAAACTCAATGCGCTTCGTTCATTCGCAGATTCATTCAAAACCTTATCGGTAGGTTAATAAGCTCTGAATTCCCGACTTTGATCGCCGGCTTAGACGGTAAACGAATGACAAAGCGTTTTTTTTTTCTTGTCTTCTTTTTTTTCTTTTTTTTGAAATCCGGATCCTAGATCATAGACACGGGGCTCTATCTCTCTTGCTGACTTGTCAAGGCTGCTTTTCTGCAGGGTAATGCCGATACTTTCTTCGGTGTGAATATCAACCAGTTTCGCTGAGGATGCATCTTGATACGGTTTGTGTAAAGTTTTAAAAAATGAAGAAAAAAGAAATTAGAGAAAGAAACCCCCAAAGAAGCAGAAAAAGACGGATGAATACTCAGTGCCGACGCCGTGGCGCAGGAAACAAAAATTGACTCCATTCTCCTCTCCGACATCTACTACCCATTGTTCGGGTCTTGAGTTGCCTCTTCTTCGCTTGTTGGTTCCTGATATCTGGCATTGTCCATTATGACCACGACTACCGAGGCGTTGTGGGCCAAATGCCTAGGCGTCCTCGCGAAAGAAACCGGCATTGCAGTCGAAGACATCGATGACCAAGATGATTTCGCTGTCGACCTTGGGATCAATCCCTATTGTCGCAAGGTCCATTCGAGCAGACTTGGGGGCGATCCTGAAGACGACGATGCCCGCGACGATCTTCAATGAGCATCCCACCGTCGGGGCTTTCCATCGCCATCTGCAATTCATCGCAGCAAGAGCGCCAGAGGCAGCATCTCGGGACTCGCGTCTCCCGCTCTCAATCGTCCTACAGGGCAACCCGTCGACGTGTGCAAAGACAATTTTCCTACTCCCGGATGGGAGCGGCTCTGGAATGGCCTACGCGAGCATCCCTCCCATTTCCCAGTCCACCTGCCTTGTGGCCATGAACAGCCCTTACCTTGATCGGGCATCGGACTACACCTGCTCGATTGAAGAGATTGCAGAACGATGGATTGACGAGATCCGCCAGCGCCAGGCCAGGGGCCCGTACATCCTGGGTGGTTGGTCTGCAGGCGGCTATTATTCGTACGAGGTTGCCAATGCGCTGATTCGCGCGGGCGAACGAGTGAGTGCGCTGGTTCTACTGGACTCCCCCTGCCGGCCCGACTTTGAGGCCCTCCCGATGGAGGTAGTCGAGTACCTCTCCAGGAATGGACTGATGGGCAGTTTCGGTATCAAGGGGGGCTCCTGCATGGGTAGTCGAGCATTTCCAGTCCACCATACGAGGCGTGCGTGAATATGTACCCGTGCCGATGGATGCAGAGGACATGCCCAATGTTTACATCATCTGGGCCCGCGACGGCGTCTTGCCTAGTAGCGAACTAGAACAGACTGGGCTGGATCTCAATGTGAAGGTTTCGCGCTTCCTCCTGGAGGGGAAGCCCGATTATGGACCCCATGGGTGGGAGCGTCTGTTTCCCGGGGGGCAATTGCAGCTGGCTACAATCTCGGGCAATCATTTCACGTTGATCCACAGACCATATGTAAGTCGGCCTGCAACGCACCGCTGGTATCTGGCTGACCGAAGAACGTATGTAGATCAATGAGATCGGTGTGCTGCTTCGGGACATTGTGGCCGCGGATTTGGAGCGGCCAAAAGATAACTGGAAAACTGTCTTTGGACCCCGATGAATTCAAACGCGGATAGGTGGTTAGCTCCGTTGCAGATAGACAGCCGTACCGTACACAGTTTGAGGATAATGATGGTCACCTCAATCTCTTCTTCTATCAAAACCCTCCTTGGTAAGGAGTAAGTCCTGTTGTGGTTCAGCCACTCAGGGAGCTCCACCTCGGTTTTCAGCCAATCATTGAAATTGTGTTCCATCTCACCGCTTGCGGAAGCTAATTACTGCCGGTTTACCCCATCAATATTAATTCTACACCTTGAACCATCTCCGGGTTCTAATTACTACTAGTTAACCCTATACTACTAGATATACTCTCTCTCTGATACTGTTCTCTGGCTACATCCTCTAGATTTTTGACTGTATTCTTTAAATATATATACATGTAGGTATACACTCTCCATTCTCTGGCTGCACCTAGGTATTTTCTAGATAAGGTACCAGATACTCTCCTTACTTAAACTTGTCCACATATATATTTCCAACTTGAGCTGGCGAATTCCATCCCTACATCCACTGGCTGGTAATTACTAGTACTAGGAGTAAATACTAGTGCCATATTACTTAAGATTCCGTTATCATGATGCCTGTTAAAAGCCCTGGAGTATAGCAAGTTTTGAGGCCGCGCTAGCGCGGCCGTAAAATCTCGTCCGCGGTAAATGATGCGTTCCTAGACCCGATTTTCGGCCGCCGAAACCGAAAAACACCCCGGCGGCATTCTAGCATGATGATCGGATGAAGAGATCGGGAGCAGCTTGAATAAGCCGTGCCGTGGTAACTGCTCTTCTATTCGACAAGTTTCAACCAGCCAGACCAGTCGAGTTCGCCCATGTCGCACGGTGGAATCCGCTCCATTGCCCGCCCGATTAGAATCAGAAACCTTCAAGTTCCAAGATTGGAATCCCAGCGCGGTATATATACCTACTAAGTAACAAAGGAGCTGTGACACGATTCACCACATCGCTCTGCAGCTTGAAACTTGAAGGTTACTCCGTCTCCTCATTGCCCCGAAGCCCAAAACCCAACTGTCAGCTTCTCGTGTGATTTCCACCATGTCCAAAAACTATAAGCTTGACCCGATCGAAACTCCTGGTTATTGCCATGTGGGTGGCTTGACGGCAGAGAGCGCCGACGTGGCCAGCCGCATCTTGACGGCTAATCGCACGGCCTACCATGTCTTCACGACGCATTTCGACCTGATGGGGGTGAGTTTCCATGCTCTGCGAGCGCTGTTCATATTCTTCTCACTAACCCTAGGGGATAGGCCTACCTACACAACCACATTGCCCACCACATCGTGACCCTGTGGGCTCTGGGTGCTTCTCCGGACACGATGATTTTCCACAAGAAGAACAACGAAAACTACCAGATTCTGCCGCGCAAGTTCGTCGACGAGCCCATCGTCGCGGAGATGGCCACGGATGAGGGCATTCGCAAGTACCGCGGGTCTCTTGACCACTTCTTGGACTTCACCACCTTCTTTGAACGAGAAATCGATCGTCTGGGGTATCAAGCCGTCTTACAGAAGTATATGGTTGGTGGGAGCGAGATTGCCGATGATATTTTAGGCCGGATGTATCATGGTACGCACCGATCCCGATCCGAACTCGTTCCTCATTGGTCCTTTTATCTGAACTTTCGACAGGTTATGTTCACTCCTTCATGTACATGGGCCAAGGACTTGAGTTCAAGCAGGAACCCCTTCTGGCAGAAGGCCTGGCGCAAGCTCTCTCGCATGATGATATGTACTACAATGACTTTCTTTTCCACACGGAAAACAAAGCTCGCCTCGGGCAGGATTCGGCTCTTTCGCTGGCCGAGTGCATGGACGAATGCAGGAAGGACCCGGTAATCTCCACTTGCTCCGATGTAGACGTGCACTTCCAGGTCGTGAGCGGCGGGTGGAAGGTAGAGAAGGAGATGATTCGAGACTATGTGTGCGGCCCAGGTTTCGACGCAATGAGCCGGGTCTGCGCTCGCTATCGTGTCGACCCCAACGACCTGGATAGAGCAACCGCGGAGCTGATAAACACGTCTGGTGAGGTGGAGCTGCACCCCCGAGTGGATCACTTTGGCTAACAATGACAGTTTATATGTCCGCGTCTGCCCAGAAGCCGCCATTCCAATGCCGCTATGACTTCTTTCTCATTCACAGCACCAATTCTACCATCTGGCAAACGGCGTTCACCAACGAGCCTTCACTAACTAACCTGCAAAAGGCCCGACTGATTGAATACTCTGGCCGCGTGATGCTGATGCTCTATGCCGGAATGGGCTGCCCTGAGCCACGTCTCGACTGGCTCCTCTCGCAACCCCCGAAGGAGCCGGGCTCCGACTGGGCTCGTGTGATCGAACGCGTCTGCCAGCACAAGGACGACGGACATATGGCGAAGTTGGTTCGCGTCATTCGGCATGCCGAGGAGGTCTCGCGCCCGTATGATAGCCGCCCAGAGTTCCGCTTGAAGCAACACATGTTCCTTCCAGCCGCGCAAGCCGCTGTTGACTCGGGAACCGACCGTCCCATGGAAGGTGTCTTCCATTTTGACTTTGTTCGTGGAGCGGCGTGGCCTGAGGCCTGGGAAAAGTCCGATTTCCCGAAACGCGACGACCAGGAGGTTGCTGCGTGAAGGGGATTCCAGCACCCAATGAGGGATAAAGAGTTAGAACTGTAAGTGTTGCTCATACTGAGGGATATTAGCGTGCATGAGAGTGCAGCTCTGGCGAGCGACCCAAGATAGATCAGGGCGCATGGCATACGCTATAATTTTCGACGTCTCAATAGGTTAGAAACCGCAAGCATGAATAGTCTAGTCTATGAGGAAGTCTTCCTGCTCGCATTCCTACCTGTCTGATTTGGTCTAGTGTAACTTTGTACTTCCTCCGCGGGTATCTGCGCCAAGCCCGCCTCCAGCTCGCTGTTGACAACAAGTACGACCCCCCTAGCCTAGAAAATTTCGTAGGATATGATGCTCCCCGCTCCATCCCTTCTTTCTACCAATTCTTCTACGAAGATCTCTAAAGATCATTGAAAGGCTGATCTATGAACATCTGGTGAAACCTTTATAGTCGAGAGACGAAAGGGTCTCTATGTCGGGGAAGTCACTTCGCTGATCATGCATCTGCCAGTACTGATTCTGACAAAAGACAGCATGATAGTGACTACCATGACAGCTGACAAGGCCCGGGACAACAAATCCACAAATGAAAGAAGAATTAGCCAATATCTTCTTCAAGTTGACTTAGCAAAGCGGGCATACCAGTATATAGGTAGGTTTCCCTCGTAGTAGATGCTATGCTCCCGTGCCTCCATTGGTAGTGCCGCTTCCAAGGTTAATACTACTAGCAACATACTAGTATTTCCAGAATCACTTAAACAACATTCAGCATATAAATAAACCACCATTTCTTATATAAAAGATCCTGAGTAGTACTGATATGTCTAGGTACATGAAAGGATGCATTCTCTTCCCACCAGCTATCCGCCACTCCAGAGTCGACTGAAGACCTCCGTAAATATTACTATGACAGTGACAATCTCTACCCATTGTCGAAAATTCGAAATTTGTCAGGTTAACGGGTGACACTCCAAGCTAAATCAACAACTTGAAAATCCATAGCAATCCATAAGGGTCTCGGGCCTGCGCATAAATGCCGCGTTTCGGCCACCGAAACCGAGTACCAACATCTGAGTTGGTTCTCCACGTTGTAAGGATACCAGGCCGCTGCCTTTTCTTTCCCCTTCCTTCTGTCTTCGCCAGGGATGTTACTTGCTAAAGCTCCCTCTGACCCACAGGCTGGAAGCGATAAAGAATAATGAATCCCCCCCGGGGGTTTTCGGATGATATGATGATAGATCGCTTGACGAAGACCGTCGTCGTATCTGTTTCGGGTCCGTAATTGTTTGCCATTTCACAATTTCCCCTCTGTCAACTGCCCTTCTTGTAAACTCCCCAGAAATCGAAGTCGTCTTCCCGTCGTCATGCCTCTGAGGGTTATTGTTATCGGCGCAGGCGTTGCTGGCTTGACGGCGGCGGTCTCCTTGTGCCGCGCCGGACATGAGGTGAAGGTTTGTCCGCTTGAGAGGTCTGGATGAGCCAGGGGCTCGCCCACAATACAGATCGCTGGCTGACCATAGTAGATCTTCGAGCGGTCGGCCTTCGCGGGCGAGGTGGGAGCGGCGCTCAATCTAGCACCCAATGGCACAAAAGTACTGCGAGAACTGGGATTTGACGAGGAACGAGCACGCTGCGTGCAGATGTTGAACTGGGACACAGTCAATGGCGTCACGCTGGACCGCATCGCATGCCAGGATGTCAGCCAAGCCAGTGAACGCTTCGGCGCGCCCTATGTTGCGGTACATCGGGTGGACTTGCATGAAGAGCTGATGAGGCTGGCGGCCGTCAACCAGCCTGGCGGAGTGCATCTTCACTTATCCTCACCCGTCGTGCGCATCTATCAGGAAGAGGGACTAGTCGAGTTTGAGGATGGTTCGGTGGAACAGGCGGATTTGATTGTTGGGGCGGACGGGCTGCATTCCATCACCCGTGCAGCGGTCGTTTCCACGACAGCCCAATCGACTGGACTGAGTGCTTTCCGCTTCCTGGTCCCCACAGAGGTCCTCGAAAATGACCGTGCTGGCCAGGAGCTATTGGACTGGAAATCGCCCGGAGCCACCATGTTGGCCGATCCAGGCTCTTTCACCGTCGACCAAGAGCGGCACCTAATGTGGTATCCATGTCGCAGGCAAGAATCCCCCGTAATCCCTGTTTTTCACATTGGAAATTGACCTATACCTCGTCCACTGCAGTGGCGCTATCCAGAACTTCGTTGGAATTCATCCCACGGTAGCCGGACCACAGCCAGAAACACCTGAAGGTACGGGTCATCATCCTTCAGTCTACTTTCTCGGAAGCGAGCGATCTCACAAGATGGCATAGAGTTCAAGCTTCAAATGTTGCGTGAATTCGGCAATTTTCACCCTCGAGTGGTAGAAATCCTCAAGTATGTGAGATTCTTGCCTAATCTATGCCTGCGGGTGCTGATTGATTCCTGGGCAGACTTGGGGAAGTCGTGAAATGTTGGCCCTTATTTCAGATTGATCCACTCCCCACGTGGACGAGCGGAAAACTCGTGCTCATCGGCGATGCTGCTCATCCGGTACGTAACCCAACAACGAGAAAAGAGGTATGTGGGCTAACGACGCAACCGTCCTCTCACAGATGCTTCCCTTTGGTGGCCAGGGATCCAACCAGGCCATCGAGGATGGAGGGGCAATCGGTTTTCTACTCGTCAATGTCGACGATGAAACGCAGCTGCCCCAGCGTCTTCAACTATTTGACCAGCTCCGGCGGCGGCGGGCATCTCGGGTACAAATTCTCTCCTCCGTACGCGCTAACCGGGAGAGTGTAGTTGAAGACAAAATCAAACCGTTCATGGAGGATGGAGTGATATGTGAGATTCCAGAGTCGGTAAAATTTCATTCCCGGCTAATTCAAGTAGTTCCGAACTCCTTCCCTGCCAGGGTTTCTCATGATGCTGGGTAAGTCTGAGCTTACCTTTCTGCAGGAGCGATGTATAAGTCTGTGCTGACAAAACCTGGGGCTATACTCGTAGGTTTGACGTATATGCCCGGTCCCAGGAAATGCTGCAACTGCTGTTCAATTCTGGTGACGGCGAAATGTTTTCGGACCACCAAACAGCCTCGTCGATAAAGCATGAATCGGATCGATCAATCACAAATGAATCATAGTACAAGGCATTTAACGAATCAAAGCAAACTCTGGAGCTACGCAAAGTGAGGAGCATAGTTATTCGTTGCCCTACTATTAGTTAGTTCGTTCTCGCCAAGTCTGTCCAGGTAATAGACCGTGCTTTCAAATAGGGTTTTTACCACATCATGATGCATGAAAATACTACTCAATTGTCCCGAGGTCCCCAAGGGCGCTGAATATAGTACTACGAAATAGTAGATCACAGAATGCCAACAAGCCCATAGATGGTGTAACGATCCGTAACGAGCAGGATGGAATCACTACAGTGATATCGGACTGACATTTTATTTAAAGCATAGACTGTACGACCTGCCCTTGTGGAGTCGACAGTATCCGCAGCCTTGTATGCCAATCATTGAAGGAAGTGTATTACAAAATACTAGTACTAGGTAGTATATGAATTCATACCACACGATTAGTACTAGTACAGTAAGAAGAGTCCTAGAAGCAACAATAGAATAGTAGCACATGAAAAACACAACAAGGCGTAGATAAATTTGAATAACATCAAAATAAAGGGTAGTGGACATTCTATTTGGAGCATGGTGGTGGAAGAAACGGATCAAACAAAAATAGCATGCATAAAGGAGATACCGCTGAATCAATTCAGTTCAACATCTGCGACGAAGCCAACTTAGTAAGATTGAACACACTTCCCAAGCATGACGACAGCGCGGCTCTCTTAAGATCCTCGAATGATGGTCGATCAGGGAATGGAGAAAATGAACAACTTGACCCCTGCACTTAGACTTCACTTGTTAATCGAAAAATCATTTCGCTCATCTCCTGGCGAAGACAGGAAATCTGTCCGTTCGATCACCTATTAGCTTTTGATGGATCGAGGGGATCTCAGGATAAACCATACCTGGGGATACTTCATCAACGAGAAATAGTCTGTCTCCAGTTGCGCCACGTCAACATCTCCGATCAGTGATTCCCAGCCTAATGTTTCTGATACTCCCCAGTTGGCATAAATCCACGGAGCTAGGGGCGAGTCCGGAGTGTTGGCTTCTTTTCCAAGCCCTTCGGTCGTCGTGAAGAGTATTGTCTTGCTAGGCTGGCGGCAGGAGATCATGCTACGGGGTTGATACTTCAACAGTGACTGGATCGCAGCAGCCAAATGTTCTTTCTGCCTCGGGGACATGTAACTCCGCTTGCCACCTGAGCCACTCATAATTCCAGCCAGTTCTACCATTTCCGGGCTGACCGTGATGCCTTGCAGTGCTGACGGAGCTGGCGTGGGTGCAGGACTCGCGACCAATAAGAGACCGAGAACTGATTCGCCCGCGGCGAGCAGGAGTTTGCTGACCTCGAATGCAAAGATGGCGCCGATTGAGAAGCCTCCCAGGATATAGGGGCCGGTGGGTTGAGCAGCGCGAATGGCGGCGGTGAAAGCGGCCGCCATCTCCTCCACGCGGCAACTTCCGAAGGAGGATGAATCACGCGCAAACGGCGATTCTACCCCGTATACTCGACGTCCACCCGCCAACGGTAGCAGTTGAACATAGGCGCTAATCGATCCGGTCCCATCGGCAAGGAGAAAGAGCGGCATGTCACTCGAAGACTTGGAGCCTTGCAGCATAATGGCCGAAGCAGGAGGAATATTGAACGATTGAGATACATGCGTCTCCATTTCCGTGGATTCGGATTCATTCGGGACCTTCTTATCCTCGAGGGATTCGGGAAAAGCGAACTCAACCTTCTTGCTCAGGGCTGTCGGTGGAGAATCAGGGGATGTAGTGTGAGAGTTAGAGACGGCGTTCGTCTCTTTTCCCATCGCCTTGGTGGCGTCCGCAACTGTCGGGTTGTCCAGGAAGAATGAACCGGGAAGCTCGACGCCAGTCTCGTTGCGGATCGAGGCTATGACAGTGATCGCCATCAGAGAATCCACCCTCAGGTCCGCAAATGCCGTTTCGGCCTCCAAATCAGAGATCTCACAGCCGGCCTCATTGGAAACGGCAGCGAGGAGAATTTCCACAGTGGAGATATGATCAACACTGCTGACAGATGAAGCAGACGAACAATCTCTCAGGTGTTGCAAGTGTCGATGGGCCAGCCGACGACGGTCTTGAATCGTATGGTGTACCTGTACTGAATTCCTTATCCACGACCCATCCATTGTCCCGGACAGAATCCAAGGTGGATTCCACAGGGTCCGGTGCGAAGCGAGTCCCCACAGCCTTACGTGAGGCGGATGGCACCGCCGACATCAAAATCCGTGACAACGCCGTCTTTTTCATCCTCTGGAAGCGCACCCCGGTGAGCGCACAGACAGGGTCGTTGGACTCATCAAACACGTAAACATCACCCACCACCGCACATTTATCAGCGGTTTCGTTCATATGGGCATAGCTGGTGTACCGGGCCGCAGGCGATAGAGGCTTCAGAAGTCGCCAGGTGTCAAATCCCGTGGATAGGAATGCAATATCATCGGAATACTTCAAACCACAGTTGACAAGGAAACCAGCGAGGTGAACCGTCGCATCGAGCAGAAAAGGGTCGTACAAATAACGGCCTGCCGATGGCAAGGTCGGCATCTTAACCTCGCCAACAGCATCACGCAAGTTTGCATCCAGCGATACAACCTCTAGCCCTTGGTAGTGTTCCCCATACTCGACCAGGTTGGAGAAGAGGCGGTAGATAACGGGTCGAAGCAGCCGATGTCCCAGACTGGCGTTGTTGCTTGCTTTGAGCGCCTCGATCCGAGAGGATACGAGAAAGAGCGTGCTTGAGATTCCGTCTCTGAAAGTGGTGTCCTCGTCATACGCGATCTCGCATGTCCCGACATCATATGAAGATTCGGCCTCACGAACGTGGAAGAAGATCTGGGCGATATTGCTGGCAGAGGCTAGCTCAACTCTGATCTCAATTGCCTGTTTAGGGTCCTTTTCCATCACGACAACAGCCCGATGTAGGTCCAGACTGCGCATAGTGAGCAGTGGTGTGTTCAATACGCTCGGCCGAAGACGTTTGTAAGCATATCGGGCAGCGGATAGAGCCATGTCGGCGAAGACGGCGCTTGAGCAAATTTTGACTCCCACGACCGCGTGGCCTTGGATTGCGGCGAACAGATGTGCTTCCGAGGTGAGCGACTCGAATGTGACCGACACCTTGGACTGGTCGGCGACTTCGAGCGTCACACGCTGCAGCGTGGTCGTTGGGAATCCCGGAACGGTTGGTACTGCAGAAGATAAATCTTTTGTTTCAACTTCAGTCTGCACCAATTGTCCTGGATCAGGGTAAGGAGTCCAGTAATCTTTCTCGTCGAAGGCGTAAGTGGGCAACTGCAATAAAGACAGGAAGTCTTTGTACTCTTTATGGTACTCGGGCCAGTTGACCGGCAATCCGGCCTGGTAAATAGCCGCCAGGGTGCTTGTCGTTGTTGCCCAGTTGTCTTCGCCTTTACGAAGAGTGGGAAATATACGTGACGAGGCGGTCGGCCCCAAATTTGCACGGATGAGCCCTGAACATATTGGGTCGGGGCCCATCTCGATGAAGAGGGTGTCATCGCGAACGATGCCGGCACCTTGGCCCGCTTGAAGCGCCAGCATAAAGTTCACAGGCTCCCGAGATTGCCTCCGAAGGTATGCGGGAGAGATGATAAAATCGTCCTGGACAACCTCCCCAAGGAGGGTCGAGGCGATAGCGATCTTTGGAGCAGAGAAAACGACATTTTGGGCGCATGCCTCGTACTGGTCGAGAATCGGATCTAACTGCTTGGAATGGAAGCCGTAAGGCACGTGCAGGAGTGTCGATCGATTGCCTTGGTCACGCATACTCTGTTGTAAGGTCTCCAACTCACTGGTTGTGCCACTGACAACGGTGGCATTGGGACCATTGAGGCAGGCGATCACACATGAATCATAAAGGCCAGAGGACAGAATCTTAATGACTTCGTTGGCTTCATTACCAACAGCAAGCATGGCATATTCATTGGTAGCCAGGGAGTTCTCCATTATGGTCGCCCGGCATCCAACAAGGTAGAGCGTGTCACTGACAGTCAAGACGCCGGAGCAGCAGAGTGCTGCATACTCACCCAGGCTGTGGCCCATGACCATAGCTGGTTGGAGGCCCCAGCCCGTCCACAGCTGAGCCAGGGCAATCTCGACAGCACACACAGCCAGTTGGACGCGAACCGGGCTCTCGTCAGCCAGATTAAGGCTGTCGTTGGCAATAAGGTCCGTAAAGTTTGGCAGGCCCTGCGCATCAACGATGGTCTGGAATGACTCGATTCGGCTCCGGAATGCTTGATTTTGGTTGAAGAGCTGTTGGGCCATGCCTGCATACTGAGACCCTTGTCCCGTGAAGGTGTAGACGATGTTGGGACCACTGGCAGCACCGCGCTTACCTTTCTTGCTCACAGCAGCTGAACTAGCTATGTCGCACTCGAGGAGTTCGATAAGATCCTCTACGCTCGCAGCAGTGAAAGCGGAGCGCAGCGGACCATGCATTCGACGCGCGGTAGTCGTGTACCCTAGGTCTGGTAGAGTTGTGTGCGGGTATCGCTTTAGATATTCCAGACAGCGCTCCTTGTTTCCATGTAGAGAATTGGCAGTTCGTGCAGAGAACGCTATAACATGACGCGTTCGAGGATCTTTCGCTTTGACTGGTTTGTCGGGAGCCTCTTCGAGAAGCAAGCAAGAGTTACCACCCTGAAACAAATTCTGTTAGCACAAAGTATCACCAATTAGACATTGATAATTGCAAATATGGGACTGCACACCGAGGCATCGAAGCTATTTAGGAATACTCTCAGTTTCCCATCGTCAATCGGGCTAGGACGGAGCTTCATATCACTGCCGGCAATATGAACATTCATCTTCGTGAGATCGGGGAACCGATGGTTAATTTTGAATGGCATTTCCGGCTGTGGGGGGATCTTTTTTCTCCTGGAGCATCATTAAGACCTTGATAAGAGCAGAGATACCTGCTGCCTGCGATATCGAGAGTCAGAAAGGACCATATCCGGAAGTTTTATGAAAGAATACCTACAGCTTCTCCGTGACCAATATTCGCCTTGACAGCCCCAACAGCCAGGGGATTGTCCTTCGAACGGTTGTCGGCGAAGGTGGACAAGACAGAAGACATCTCCACAAAATCACCCGCCTGCGTGCCGGTGCCATGCATCTCCACATAGGCTACGCTAGCAGGATCGGTGGCGGTCTGGTGAAGGATCTGGTCATACAGACGCTGCTGGCCTTCTTGCGATGGGTGCGTGATGGACGACGCCCCCTTGTTGTAATTCCTCGCGGAGCCCTTAATGATCCCCAAAATATTGTCATTCTCGGCTAGAGCATCCTCAAGGCGTTTGAGAATAACTACACCCACACCTTCGCCACGCACATAGCCGTCAGCATTATCGTGAAACGTCTCGCATCCCGCGTTCGGAGATAGGAAACCCCCACGGCTCAACCCCGAGAAAGGAGCAGGCGAATCCAAGATTGAGCCGCCTCCAGCGAGCGCCATGTCACAGTCGCGTCCAAGGAGTGAAGAGCATGCCAGGGACACGGTGCTGATGCTGGAGGCGCACGCATTATCGACACTGTACGAGGGTCCCCCCCATTTGAAATGGTAGTTAACACGACCGGGAGCAAAGGCACGGCAGGCACCTGATGTGTAGTAGATGTCAATGCCTTGAGTGAAGAGAATATCACGCCAATCGTCCGACGCTTGTCCAAAGAACGTGCCAATACGGTCGCTGCCTGTTGCCAACGTGCCATCGGGCGAGTATCCGGCCATTTCCAGTGCTTCGTAGCTGACTGTGAGGAGTAGTCGATGGAGGGGATCGGTCTGGAGAGCCTCGCGGGGGGACATATTGAAAAGACGATTATCAAAGTATCCAGGTCGGTCCAAAAATGCTCCGGTGCGGTTCAGAATCGAGTTTTTCTCTTTTCCAGTCGCCCCGAACCATTTTTCCAGGTCAAATCTCTCTTTGGGGATCTATGCATTGTTACTTTCAGTAATTAAGGTCGTATAAAAGGGATCGGAACGGGAATTACCTCTTTGACGAATCTCTTTTGATCCAGGAGTGATTGCCAATAGTCCTCAACAGTTTCGCTGCCAGGCAGCCGAGCTGCCATGCCGACTATAGCAATCAAATTCGACCCACCGCGTGTTGAAATTGTTGAGAGCGGTGATTGCTTGGCGTGAGCATCGACGGTAAAAGGAATGCCCTTGGCCTCCAGGGCTTTTTGGACAGATACGAGATGGGGCGTGTATCCGACAGAGGTCACTCGCACCGGGCGACGACCCGAAGTTCTCAGGACCTCGTCAATTGTATCACTCAATCGCAGCATTTTCTGGGTAACCTCCGGGATGAGGCCGCGGAGTAGCTTGCCGAAAGTTGAGGCGGCACGGGGTTGACATGTATACGGTGAAAGGAAATTCGCTTTGGTGGTGATCGGAGTATTCAACAACGGCGATGAGCCGAGAATTACATCGAGGTCGAGCTCCGGGAGGTTTGGCATATGGACTGCCCCTCCAGCATCCGTCTTGACTCGGGATACTTGGTCCAGTTCCTTTGACCAAGTAAACAGTTGCGGCATGGTCGTCGGTGGCCCGAAGAGGGTAAGCCATCCCTTGGACGCAAATCCAATGTTGACCTGGCGCGCAGCGGGAATGCTCTGGAGTCTAATGTTAGCCAGCGCCAAGCAGGATATGGGGGAACAAAGGCAGCTAATTCGCTATCGCTTACTTGGCTGCAGTGAAACTCGTCTAGGATGGTCTGAACCTCTCCAGGAGTCACACCAACGAGAGTCGTTGCCCAGCTCTCATTCCTCTGGTCGACGAGCACCGTCCGGCGCCAACAATCGCGCGCGAAGCGAAAGATTATGTGGATGGTTTCAAGAGACAGCTCGTACAACTCGGTGTTGTTGCGTGCTGCTACCGCGACGGCTGCAGGAATCTCTCCTGTACAAAACCCGAGGACATGGATCGGATTTTCGGTAGAACCCAGGATGCTAGGGTCTTCTTCCGCGTATCTAGTTGACGATATCAGTATATCCCTGCGTCTTAGACGAAACGGAAAAATGCAATTTCGGGCACGCACAGAATTAGTTCTCCTAACCGAGCCACATTCATCAAGACCGTAGCCACAATTTCACTCGGGTTGTCAGATCTGGCATTGTCTTCAGCCAAGCGTAGAAGAGAGTCAAACTCTTTGATATTGGTTGCTTCCTCGGGACGCAACCTAGTCGACTCAAGCTGAACCGCGTCGCACGCATCACGGAGAAAGCGCCGGATGACCCCAGATGTCCGGGAGTATTCGACGAGCAGCCGAATGGCAGGCAGCTTTTCCACTGTTTGATCCCCATAAAGCAGGATTCTGTCTGTCGGATCAATTATCTTTAGAGTCATGATGCCGGCAGCTTCATTAGTGACCACGACGGTCCTTAATGGATGATATCAGAGAGTGTAGAGGAGCAAAGCCTGGTCCAGCTACAGACTTTTCGGGACAGTCTGTGAGAGGCCCAGGAAGGACTTTTGTGTGGTCACCATCCCCCTGTCCCTGGACTCGGTGTTTCATTGTCGTGTTCTTCGCCTTCTGCGCTTCGGCGACATAGATGCTTTGTCACGATCTCATATCTCAACATCAAGATGATACCATATTCATCCCGTAACCAAGAAATGCATTGCTTCTTGCCATGTGCAATCCTCGTTGGCGAATCTCAAAAGTCACCGGAAATATTCGCCGAGAAAGGCGATGCAGATAATGTTGAAAGGTTGAAAATCTTCATTTCGGAGAGGACTGGACCGCCTAGATGAGACCATCCGATACCGAGCAGATGAGATGAAACGTGGGATGCACGAAGTGGGTGTAGATTGCACGAAGTGAACTGAGGCTATCAGCACAAAGTGGTGGATGCGGGATGAGTCAGTAGCTCCATGCCTGAGGCCTCAGGCACTCTCGGTAACGTGTTTTCCAGAGCGGCGCAGTACCAAACACCAGACACCATAGTGAAAGCAGTTAATTTAAACTAAAAGTTGAATACCTCAACTTGAAATTGAACAGCAACATCATTACTTGATCTCTATTTCTGTGTATCGGCCATAGTTGATAAATATAATAATCCTCTTCTCTGGAGTGGTGTAATCATGATGCATTCTTTACACATATTACCAAAAATACGGTCACGGTCATGGGCACGCCCGGGCCGCTAGCCATCCATGCCCAGGTGGATTATATATTTTGGTAACACAATGCAAATATTTACAGGTACTACCTACTAGTACTGGTACTACTACCAGTATCCATTATCATAAGGGATTTAAAAATATTTATGCATACAGGGAGCCTTCCAAGGTTCAAGTTGGAAGTATAGTATGAATGATACTATCCATAGATCTTTTCTACATGCGCGGGAGTAATCCTATCAAAAAATAAGCCCTGGCGAGCTTTTGAGATATTGAGTTGTATTTCTTGGTTTAACCATGGGATCTGCTGCTTCATGCCTTGCTTTGACTTGCAGTTCTAGAAAGCGTTAGGTACTCAATACTACCATTAGTGGGGAATATTCTCGACTGCGAATCAGCGGAGACGGTTGGAAACTTGTGTTCATGATAGCCCAGAGCTAGGCCATAACACGAGTAACAGGGAAGACGATTGTCTTCTATGGTGTCCCCAAACTTCTAGGTTTTATTGAAGCGCAAGACCTTGGCCATATTGATCCCTCGATGCCTACGATGGTGAATTATGAATTTCCAGGCAGGTAACTGTTTCCACAGGATACTGGTAAATTGATATCAAAGCATGTGCAGATTGATTGAGCGATTCTCATTATACTATGCCTCATATTACGGGTTATTGCATGTGTGACATTATGTTTCCATCGATAGTAAATCCAGGGAACGTAGCAGAGTTAGACTATCGGGGAATGATACACCTTTTGTACTTACAGAAGTACATACTAAAGAAGATGTGCACATATGCTCGAAGCCTAATTTGGGTCATCACCGTGGAAAAAGCCGTTAAAAAACTACGAAGCCCAAAGGTCACACCACTGAGCAACCAACTACGTGAGCTTCCTACACTTTTGGCAAGAATCAGACTACTGTCCCTAATACTCCATGGATTATAAGACGCAGGGGTGCAGGGCTTGATTTGCGCACTACAAGTCCGTATAAATAAGGAGAGAGTTCATAAAGAATAAAGGCACGGCAAAGAGCCCTGGTGGCGGATTGTGAGCGACAGTCAACAGTTGACAAATATCCAGCCCAGGAACATTTACACCACACATACATCCGCAGGTGATTGAACATTGGACTAGGCTGACAACACTTCGGCCATCTAAATTTCAAGTTAGCGTGGGTTTATGGATATATTCGCATACCCTTAGAAAGCTCACCTGCTCCGCCATTGCATAGACAGCGGCCTGGTAGTGTCCACAGAGAGGGAGAGGAATCACACTCGAGTCGATGACTCGCAGGCCCTCGATGCCCTTGACCCGACATTCGGCATCAACAACGCTGCCCATGGCGCAGGTTCCACTGCCGTGGTTGACAGGGCGCGCAATTCGAATACAGCGCTGCATGATGGCATCGTCACTGTAGTCAGCTTTGATACTCTCGTCCATACCATATTCCGCGAGACCATATTCCGGACCAATAGATTGTTCGAGAGCGTTGCTTGTCAAGCGCACAACGGAAAAGAAGAGCTGCCGGTCAAACTCGTTCGACAGGATGTTGGGGTCACAGATAGCTGAGTCAAATGGGTCGGTGGACCGTAGCGTCACTGTGCCACGGGATGAGGGTGTGACCAGAATATTCATGACGCAGATGTTGGATCCCGTTGGCGCCGGCCCAGCCTTGCCAGTGAAGTCAATATGGCCGTATCTGGAACTATTTTAGCTTTCGTCCAAGAGAACAAGGTGGGGATTCGTCGAGGTGCTCCCTACAGGATGACGGATTCAGTGTGCGCTCTGCTCTTGTTCTTAAAGCGTTCCAGTTCGAGAGCATCAAGCTCACTCTGGGCAAGAGCAACAATGGAATCATTATCGTGACGGTGAAAGGCCATCCAGTCCACGGGTAGTCCAGTGGTCCAGTCACACTCGGGAGTTTTCATTGCAACATCTCCAAGGGATAGGCCGCGCTCTTCAAGGTTCCAGTATGTGGCCAGCATGGGATGGTCACTATAATTCTCACCAACCGGAAGGTCTGCCACCTTTTGGATTCCATGCCTTTCGAGCTCCTGACCAGGCCCAATCCCACTATACAACAAATTAGCGATATGTCGTCGGTGACAAGGCGCAGGACTAAGGCACTTGCCTCAACAGGAGAAGCTTCGGTGACCCCTGAGCTCCACTCGACACAATGACTTCCCGTCTCGCTGACACTTCGCCTTTGACGTTTCCAGATCGCAAGAACTCGACGCCTGTTGCACGCTTTCCTTGGAACACAATCTTGGTCGCATGGGTGTCGGTCCAAATCGTTACATTTTCACCGAACGGGTAGTTTCCTGCTGACCACTGGCGGATTCCATCGTAGGAACTAGTCGTCGCCTCGCTGTATCCCAGAATATCGCCAGAGTTCATGTCGTTAGCACGCTGACATCCTACAGATTCGTACATTCTAGCCATGGCCTCCTTCAATGGATACTCGCGTGGACGCCCAGATGAAGAAACTTGGGAAACCTAAAAGTGTTGCTTCCGTTAGCCTTGCCTCTAATCTCAATTTCACCAAGCTATCCGAGACGGTGTTTTGCTGACCTTGATCGGCCCAGAATCCCCGTGCAATGCAGAAAGGTCCTTATCCTGCAGATTGACCCCAGGGATGAAAGTCTCGGATTTCTTGAAGAACGGGAGTAATCCTTCCCACGACCACCGTTGGTCGCCTACCTCGGTTCCCCATCGCTCACTTATCCAGCGAGATCCGTCAGTGTGCGTACATTCGCAAGCTAGCGTGGAGAATAAGGTGGCTCGACAAAGAAAACATACAAATCCCCGTACGCACCACGAGACCAGACTTGATGGTTGATTGACGAGGTTCCACCGAGGATCTTGCCTTGCGTGAAATCCGTCGTCTTATCGCCAAGTGCCTTCTGTGGGGCACTTGGGAAAACCCATTTTATTTCTCTTGCGGGCTGTCCGACGAGGCCTAAACTTGGTTTAACCCGAGGATCCTGCTCCAAGCCGGCTTCGATCACAAGAATCGAGCTCTGTGGTAGGTAAGTAGAGAGACGGCTAGCCAATACACAGCCTTTGCTTCTTATCAGCTTGCGTTTTGCAGAGAAACAACACTGGAGTAGTTCCGCACCTGATGTACCTCCTCCAACGATGACATAATCAAAAGCAGTTCCCATAGTCGTGGTCGAAACGTTTTTGTTAAAAATAGAAGCTAGATACGCTCTAGAATCAACACAACGATTCATTACCACTGTGGGTTATATGTGTTTCAAGGGGCATTCGGTAGTTAATCATACTTGCTGTCGGGGTTCAATATCGTCGGAGGCTTCCCAACCAGCCAACCGAAATTGCATGGAACCGCCCGAAGTAATTAAGAAAGGGTCCGGTTAGAAATCGGAGAGTTTTTAGACCCCAGCAGATCTAGTAGGATTAAGAGTGTCACTATTTTGGATACGGTTAGTCTACTACGAATCATGAACGAAGTTAAAAAAAGGCCCCGACAGAGAGAAGGCGCAGCTGATCCTGACGAAGTGAAGGAGGGTTAAATTACCGCTAGTACTCTTCAGGAGATGATTGTCAGGGCTTACATGTACTGGATCCACCACCATATGTATGGTAATTAGAGGGAACTCGCGCTTAATTCTTCAACCAGTTATCAATTTACCATCTATTGGCCGTAATCGGTACTACCCCGTACTGATTCCCTCTGACTTGAGAAATCCGTTTGACCAATATTTTAATAATGCTAGAACTTCTGCATTGGCCTCCACTGCCATACCGATCTACAAAATGTTAAAGAAGGGCTACGTCCTGAATCCGGTTCACATTAATCGAGCTTGCTGTCAAATCGCTGCGGGGTATCATATTTCTACAACTACAATCCTAATAATAACAATGGCGACGAAATCTCTCCCAAAAACCTGTCGTGCCTTAGTCCTCAACGCAATCGGAGAACGCCTTCACCTCGAAACCCGACCTACCCCGCAACCAACCTCGGGAAGCGCCGTCATCAAGATCCTGGCAGCCGCAGTGCTTTCCTACTCCCGAGACATCTACAACGGTACCCGCAACTATGAACTTGCAACTCCATCGGTACCAGGCAGTGGTGCCATTGGGCGTGTCGCAGCCATAGGCCCTGATGCTGCTAAGCTTCAAGTAGGCGACCTTGTTTTCATTGATATCTATATTCGCGGACGCGACGACTACAGTGTTGGTGCCCTGTCTGGTATTAACGATGGCCACTCGGAGGCTAGTAAGCGCATGATGCGCGGGGAATGGCGTGACTCGACATATGCCGAGTATGCGAGACTGCCGCTAGAGAATTGTTTCTCGCTGAACGAGAAGCGGCTACTTGGATCACCGGCAGAAGGCGGACTCGGATACACGATTGATGAACTACTATATATTGCTGTTCAGCTCGTTCCCTTCGGTGGCCTCCGCAGTATTGGCCTGGCTGTCTGCGACAAAATCATAATAAGTCCTGCAACAGGAGCATTTGGTAGTGCTGCTGTACAGGTGGCTCTAGCTATGGGGGCTAGCGTTATCGCAATGGGCAGAAATAACGAGACACTGGAGAATCTTAAGTCAAAGTTTCTGCCCGATGCTAGCGATGATCGTATTCAGCTAATCCAAATCACGAACGACCTTCAGCAGGAGGTGGAGGCTCTCGCGAAATTGGGCGCCGCCGATGCCTTCTTCGATACCTCCCCCCCAGTTTGCAGCCGGTTCATCACATATCAAAAGTGCGATTATGTCTCTCAGACACTCCGGTCGCATTTGTCTAATGGGTGGTGCTATGGGAGATATGGCGATTCCCGCCTCTCCCGTCGTCCGCCGAAATCTCACTATCAAGGGAAAGTGGATGTATGAGCGAGATGATATCCTCAAGTTGATCCAAATGGTTGAGTCAGGGGCTCTGAAACTAGGAAGGGAAGCTGGCTGTCGGATAGTTGGGAGATTTCCCATGGAAAAATGGAAGGAAGCATTTGATGCTGCGGCAGAACATGCTGGTCCAGGAGAGAGAGTTTCGATTATCCCTTAGAAATCACATCCCTCTTATGGTTCACTGGGTACCACCTTCGCAGTCTCGAACCCATAGGTGCCAATTTATTCGGGTGGAGCTTAAACAATTCTCCCTTCTTACTTATTCCAGAATAAGTATTATCTTGCTACCGGTTCTCCTTTCATGAAATCGCAGGCCCGCTGCTTTGGTCGAATTCCAGCTAAGAAATAACACAAGCGGATTTGCAGGGATGAATTTAGAGTATCCTTCATTTGGCGCTAATATTCTTGTTCGTATGATGAGATATAGTTATACCCTGACATTCCCAACTCCCTCGCCTATATACACCCTCGGACTACTAGTAGCACTAGTACACTACATTCAATCTGCACACTTCTATACATATATATCCATTTCCTAGTGCTACTGTATTGCCTACGCGCACTTTCTGCAAGATGATATTGTCAGCTTTGTGCTGGATGAGACAAAATGATCCATCTTTAATGACCCCATCCGCAAGAAAATAATTTCTATCAGGGGAAAATCTTCAGGCCGACTCGAGTACTCTTTTTAGATAGGCTACTTGTCTAGATTCCAACATTCAAATTTTAACCTAGAAAATTTTATTTCATCGTCGCGCGATTGTTCTATCTTTGATCTAATATTGGACGACCAGAAAACTGCATTCACGACATCAACCAGAGAAGTTACTATAGGCCGGTTTACATGACTGACGCGTCTAAGCAAGGAAGATTTCGTAGGGACAATTGCATAGGTCATTCCGTATCACTTCCTGTAGAAAATTCATACGATTGCCGCAAAGCCGTTACGAGCGTAAGCCACCTGTACTGAACGTCTCTCCTTCGCAAGCCTCCTGCGAAGGTAACCAGTGTAACAAATTAATATCATAAAAACAAGTGACACATAAAATGACATTGTTACAAATCTTCCGTCACAAATTTTGTCATCATCATTGCGAAGGCTGCATGTAATTAGCGGGCCAAATAGTAATGCCATGACCGCTAGAGTGGATCTAGTTTAGTTAGCTTAATTCTCGTTCGGGGGTTGAGATGGTATGTTTCACTTCAAAGGGTGTCGAGCAAATGGAACAACAAGCCATTTGACAATGGGGTTGTCAGGATAGGCATCTGCGATCCCAAAAAGGCGATTTTGAAAAATAGGATCCTCTTCATGGCTGCGACCATATGTTGATTTCGGGTTTTGGGGGCCTCCTTTTGCCATGCTGACCAGCAAGGGAACTAGGCTGCCCAACGTTGGGCCCGACCGTTGGTTCAATAGAGTAATCAAATAGGTGCCAAAACTTGTGGAGACGTAATTCTTAACGGTGGTGAGAATAACAGGTCCCAGATCACTGTGACCAGTGGGAGATATTTAGGATCAATGGGGTGTGTAGGTGGGGAGGGCAAAAGTTACAGGATTGCCCGGACTAGCTCCTACTAGGCCGCTCAGGGGTGCGGCGGTGTACATGGCCCGGGCCCTGTTGCTTGGTAAAAACCAACACGTTTAACCCATCAGTCGGCCACCTGTGCGAGTCAGCCACCCTGGAAGGCTATTTTAGGAAAGATAAATTAAAATTATATAGCTTAACAATACGACCCTTTTTTAGGCTATCTTGATCATTTGTTCCTATTTCGGGGTTAAGGGATGAAGTAAGAACAACCTCAATCATCGCAAGACATTTCAAAGATCTCTCGAGTCATTAATGTACAATGAGGGTTCTCAACCATCTTTGTTCTTTCCTTCTTGTTGCTCGGCTCATCTCGGCTGTCCCAACAACTGCGAATGAGACACCTGTTGTCCCCCAAGTTGACAACAGTGCAGCCGAAATGGTCCTCTACGAGGCAGATGAAGGTAAGCTTCTCGGTCGCAGTCTAGCGAGCCCTCCCTAGCCACACATAGACTGTCGGAGAACGGGCAGGGTCATCATGAGTATTAGTGCTAGTTCTGCTGTGTAAGTCATCAAATATTACTTTCGTTATCGTGCTTCTCCTCTTTACCTTGTTTGGCACATCATATACTGTAATCTCCTAAAAAGCACCTATCGGGTCTGCATTTATTCATATTGGAATCAGATATGCTTCGTCGGTATGTGAATAAGAGAATGCAGCCCAGTGTGTTAAAATATGTTGGCTATTTTCGGCACGGTCTTGACGGCCTTTTCATCGTGCTGGAATTCGTCAGTGGCTCAATTGGCCTCAACAACAACGACTATCAGTAGTCCTTTAATAGTCGCGCGAAGCGAGATATTGCCGAATCTTCGAGCCCGGGCTGGAACCTTCTTGATCAGGTCCCTCGCAACGAGGGTGGTTGGAAGTATTATTCAATGGATACAGTCGACCTCGCCAAAATCACCATAAACAAGCGAGACAGCGATCCCAAATTTGTCCATCGCATCATTGCCCGTAACATGGCAATCGATGAGGAGGGCAACAATTCTGACTTCGGCTTCAGCTTCTATGATAGGAGCACGACACATCGCATTTATATCCCGCTCTGGCGGTTCCAGTGCGAATACCAAAGCCACAGTCCAGGACCTCACCACTTTCGGCGCCGTTGTCAAAGTTTACCGCGCAGACGTAGCAGATGAACCTACCTTCCTCTCCGCCATGTAATAATGTGCCGACCTCCCACCCATCGCGGGCCCGGTCCAGACGGCCATGATGCGTCGTGACATTCTCTTCGAGAATGTATCTTACGCGGATTGGACGCAACCCATGCGTCCCAATACTCAAGGCACGCTGAATCTGCAGAACTACTTCTCGCCCACACAACCGCTGGATTTCTTCACCATCCGCTCCTCCATTTCCGGCATCCTCGGCTATCCAGGCCAGACTCAATATGCCGCCGCCAACACGTACCAATACACGCTTGACCGCCAGCGTCGCAGCAAAGGCCTTAAAGGGCGTGGCCGTTGGTCTCAGTATCATGCGCGACACCGGAATTCTAGCCGAGCAAGGCACAACTGGGAAATTCCCTGACTGGGAAGCCGTTCTCGGAATCCGCGACAAGGCCTTCCACGCGCTCATTAAGAGCATGATCAACAGTGAGTGGATCTTCGCCAGGGCTACTATCGCTGAACTTCGTAGGAGTAAGATGATAGATATGTCTGCGCGAACAACATATCTGGATTCGGACTCTGTTAACACAGAGACAGCTGGTACAAATACCAACTTATGGATGTGCAGATTAACAATGTCTTAAGTCAAGACTAACTATTATACTATCTCCTCAAAGGCTACCATACCAAACTGTGATTCACGTTCATTATTCACCCATACATGGAGGATACGCAGCCCTAAATGATTATCAGTATTTCATCTCGATATAGTAATTTTGATCCTAGAGGAAGATAAGACACACCCGCATTCCATTTTTGTACTAGCTTTGGGGTGTCCCTAAGGCCACCTTGTCTTGGAATACTATCTCCTAATTGTAACGAACTGGTGTTATTACTAGTTAGTGAAAGATGGGAATGCTCGCTGGCTGTCTGTCAAGCAGACGGGTCGATCGCAGAGAGACAAAACCACCACACACGCAGTGTGCAGGCGAGTAGGCAAGGCGATGGCCACTGAGATATAGCTTCCTAAGGCATCGAAGCCTTTATAGGCAGTACACCGATACTGCTACCGCCGCAGGAACAGAAAAGACAGAATTGTGACACTTGACAGGTGTGTGTATTCCTAGATTGCTATCGCGTAAACTAAATATCTCCCTGTAAGCAGACACCTTGTTGCTAAGGCTCTGATCATATGACTCCGATGTTAAGAGCAGAATCCCTACTACATTAGTTAGTTATTCGTGGATAACTTACACCTGCGGCATCCACTTAGGCACCCACTACCTACATGTGTATCTAGTTCATCTCAGCTTCTTCCTTCTTATTCTTCTCCCCATTACTTTCGTCGAATCGGTACTACTTCCTTTGCCTGCTGCGGTACGTCGTATCTTGATCTCTGTGAGTACTTGAGCATCCTGACACTTATTATGACAGCAAAATTATTATATAATTAGGGCAACAAGGCTAACAACGTCATACGGGCCTATCCAGGCCCTACTCTGGGCTACCTACAGTCGTTACTATAGTAACTAATGTTAATCTTAAATGTTAATAAAGCAGTATAGCTAATATAGTTATCTTCTTATGCTAAAAATGCTTTTTGGTGCTCATATTGTCAGATCTTGAAATGACAGGGTCGGTGTGGACAGCCCTCTTATAACCAGTTCAGAATGAACAACATGGTCTGTCATTGTGCGGCTCAATATACATCCATAAGACTTCATGTTGTTGAATATTAACGCAAATTATCAAACGTGGAAAACTGCTCCGAAATCTATGCACGCCAATCAGTGACAGAGACCCATCATATCAACTATAAGCTCATAGTTCGCATAAGCATGTTGTACATACGCATGGAGTTAGAAGCCTGTGCTGGAGAAAACTCCTTGATCACGCTCAAAAATGTTCTACTACTAGTGATCATTATTAGGTTAATCCAGCCATTCAAGCTGAGTTGTGGTTGATTTATCCATCCCACATCTGAGGTTACATATAACATCTGTAAAGCAAGATCTGGGAGAGGACATTAATGGTGATGTTAGAGATGACAGTAATATCTCGTAGTTATTATACAGAAGCCCTCAAAGCTGACACTTTAGAAAAATGTCTCTAGCCGTGGGCAATTAGACATGAAGTATGAAATGTTTCTGATGACGCAGGGCACGTGTTAAAGTGAATTGGAGACATTTATTTGGATCTCATAGACTAAATTGACAACAATAGCGACAGACTCTGGTCGAGTCCCCCCATTTCAAGATAAAGACAAGGCTCAATAGCTTCGATTTCCATCAAGATGAATGGGCGATCTTTGGTCACCAAGCCATCCACGCGCATATACCCCATCTTCCCTGTTGTCGCACTCCCGAACCGATCCTTGAGCGTATCAATGATAGAGTTGACGACAGACAAGGTCGTCTTCTGAATCTCTTCAATTGGTTTGCGACTCAGTTCGCCACCGAATTGCGCCTGACAGCGGAACTCGCCGCTACGAGGCGATTTCAGAACCACGTGAGAGAGACTTTCGCCGATAAATATGAACGAATATTCACCCACTGAGATGGATGGCTCAAACTGCTGCAAAACGATTGAGCTTCCAAGGTGACCATTAATGCATGACTGCAAGTGTGTGGTGTCTTCCTTCGAGAGGGTTGAAATGTCAGAGATGAGTGTGGTGTTGTTAGAGGATGCAGAAATCGCTGGTTTGAGGACGACGGGCCCAGATGATTGAAATTCAATCAGTCGTCGGTGCAACGCGGACGCAGAATCAAATCGTTTCGCCTCAATCATTTCCATCTTGGGTATATCGAGTCCCGCGTCGTGCATCTCCAAGAGATATTTCTTGTCCATGTTCCATTGGACCAGCTCGATAGGATTCACCATGCATGGGCGACTATTACCGTCTTTGATTGACTCGATCGCTGTTCGAGCTTTCATGAGAAAATGCTGGAATTCAATGGGATGTCGAATGTAGTCCTCAGCCCAGAGAAAAGTCACAACATCGTGATTCAAGATGGAGGCAATGATGTCCTCATCCAGCCACCGTTTGACGGTGACCAGTGCACCTGCTTTTGAGAGGAGTGGCGGTAACATCTCATTCGACCAGTCATCTTCTGCAACGTATCTCTCGACAAGGCCAGTTGGGGGAGTTGTCAGGAAAAGAATTCGTTTCATTCTGCTCTCATTTCAGCCCTCGAGTGAGTCAGAGTATACCTCAGGTCGTGGATGAAGTGGGTTGCGGGCGAGTGGCTCCGAGGGACAGAACGACCTCAGGATGTATCCAAAGATGTTTCTGGTACTGGAAATGCTGACTAGTCGTAATTTACATGAAAAGTTAACTTCACAAGCTGTCAATGTGATTCGTCGTGCATTATGCTTACGGCACGCACGAACCTTCAACAAGAAAGATTGCCCACAGCACTTGACCTGACTACTGTTACGTTGATTATTTTTGAAGTGCGAGAGGACAGAGAATCAAATGATGTGTTCACGTCTTTTCTTTTCACAAAACATCTGATTGTGGGGTCTTGTACTAATCACGTTCTGTGTCTACACGAATGACCTGGAAGAATTGTATGAGGGGCGTATCCAGGAGGGCTATAGACACTTGTGAGTGCTAAAGCCCTTTGCGCACGCTTCAGTCCCGCAGTGTCCCAAAAAGCAGGTCCGACACCAATCGTCTGTCATTGCATCGATTCCGCAAATCCAGCACCAGAGCGGTTTCGTCCCAAGCCGATTGGCCTCTTCTGTCATGATATGCCGAAGTTGTTTTGCATCGGAGCCAATGAGATATCTCTCGATCGCTTCGCTATCCACAGCAGCAGCACTATTTAGCTTGGGAATCCACCGCGCCCAAGCACTTCTCCTACGAAATGCTGCCATAGCATTGAACTGTTTATTGATCTCCCGCGGAACTGCGATGAACGCGCCTAGACCACGCACAATCTCCTCTCCAGGTGGTTGATCGTTCTTCGCATGGCGAATGACAAATTCTCTGAACGCTTTTCCAATTTGCTCACTTCTTGCCGGCCAATCCTCGGCCGCCGCTACATTCAAGGTGCCCAAGGCTTCGATCAACACTGGTGTCGCAATCGGCCTCGTGACCATAGAGCGCCAGAATCTGATTGACTGGCGAATGAGCTCCTCTTTGTGGAAAGCGAGATGTCGCATCATCAGGCCGTTGAAGTTGATCGCAATGCCACTGATACCCAAGCCTTTACCAAAGGCAATCATGTCAGGCTGGATCTGGCCATCTTCGAAGTATTCGGGTCTCTGATGAACCAGTGGTGCTCCGCAACGGATTGCGGTCATGGCTTCATCAACAAGCAGACATATGCGTGCTTTATCGCAGCACTTTCGTAAGAGACAGAAGTATTCGGGCGGGAAGACTGATCCATCTGACGCGTTGACCAGATCACAGATCACTGCAACGCATCCTTCCTTTTTGGCCTCAACGAGTTTGTTCGATAATATGTCTTCCGTCACAAAGTCGCTTCGGCGTACGTAGAATGATTCAGGACCCGATCCGATGATTCTGTATTCCCACTCGTCCGAAGAGTGTGCCTTTTGCTGGTCAGTATATTCTGTGGTTGATGATCGGTTCATTGGACTCACCAAGGGCCCATAAGCGCACCCATAGATTCCGTCAACAATCGCCAGTTTCGGCGTCTTGATGTGAGCATCATTCCAACCAAGAAGGTTGCGGGCGAATTCTTGGACCTTTTCCGGCTCTGGGTCATCCTTCAGCAACGGGGATAGTGCTGGGTCTTCCACCACCAGTGGACATGTTGATGCGGTATTGAGAATGAGACTTGCCAAGGTGGTTGGAATCAGCACATCACTAACGTGCGCGTGAAATGTTATGGGCCAATATCCGTTGAAAAATGATTGAAACCGGTCGGTATACTCGTTCAGCAGTACATGATACTGTTGCTCAACTCTTCCAGGGCTCACCGTATACTCTTCCCATACCTGTCGAGCGCGATTGTCACTGACGAAAGCATTGTTCGAGTATATTGTTCCCCAAGCATTATGGAAGTCATGATCAAGAGGAGGCTCCGCTGAGCGATGACCATTTGAAGTAGACTTTAGAGTCACAGTCATCTTGTAAAAAAGGCACAGAGGAAATGCCTTTCGCAATTAAAGATCAAAAGGAGTTGAGAGAAAAGACTGCCCCATAAATTACTCGCTTTTGGGTTTTAATTTCACCGCTTCGTCACCATTGAACGGCCAGGCCCAGGGATATTCATCCCGGCTATACCCTGAGCACATACGCCCCAAATACATGATTCTGATCGCTTCGTATAGGTTGCGGATGGTGCGGAGCGACGATCAGTATGCAGGACCATGCAGAAGGTTTTGGACTCCTCACAAACTCCGCCCGCCATTGACAAGCCCCCATAATGGCAAGATTCGCCATGAATTTCCTCTAGAATTCCACGTGCACTTACGATTAGCTTTCATACATTTCAAGTCCTCCAGATATTGCGACTCTATTCCGGCATTATAAATTCGTAATATATCTATGCTTGATTGGATCCCTCGGGGGGCGCTTCTTGCATTCCAAGGCTTTCAAGGCTCCACCAGGGGCGATGCACAAAGCAAGGGCTCGTCGTTTCCGTGTAGCATCAGTCGTTCTCTCGGCATTCACATTTTCAGCTCGAGACCCTCAGGATGCGCTAAAATCTGCATGTTCCAAGATTGGGCTCGTTGCCGTGATGTGACCAGTAGTGCTAGCACGTTGACGAGATCTGGACGTCACACGAACTGGAACTACCATGCAGATCTCGCGATCTCATACTGTATTTTTACAACATTCCTTGGGTCACTACGTAGAGATACTAAGTAATGTATAAATCAGGTTCCGGCTTGTGGAATCAGACAACCCTTTCAAATCGTACCCACCGAGACACCACGTTGAATTGGTACTCTTGGTACTCCCTCGCGGCTGGATTTCATCTGGGCCCCAACTGCGATATTACAAGATGGCCCCAAGCTTGGTGGAGTCGAATAGACTGTATCTTCAACTGCCTACAAAGCCCATCCACTGTTTCAAAGATGCCGTGCAGTTTGAATTGGGTCAACATTGGCACCTGAGGCAACAAGTCAGTGATTCCGTATCAGTCAGGGGATCGACTTTCTTGAAAGCCGCTTGGGTCCTTACTCTCCGTTGCTTCGAAGCCGAGGAAGTAATCAGTATAAGCTACGATGAAGAATTGGGCTCAAAGGCCGGCGACTCAACTGCATTTACTGTGCGAGTGGAGTCGAGATGGAATGTGCCGCTACTTCTTGAAACGTTAGAGACGCAAGAAGAAGCCAATGTGTCAAGTGCTGGCCCGCAGCTCTCTCAGACTCGTTCTGTCTGCACTGCAGCACTCAGATACATAACCAATTCAAGCCCTTCTTTGACTGCATTACCTTTCCTCGGTGGAAAGCTAGAAGTAAGTTCACCATTGCACCAGGCATTTGCTTTCATCATTAACATAATCTTGTTGCCCATATCTAGCTTGTCGTCATTGAGAATAACAGCCGGTTGATTGCTAGCATTAGCAGGCCAGGCAGTGTCTCAAGGCAATTGAATGATAGCATGCTGTGGACATTTCAGCACGTACTTCGGCAGATCTTAGCTTGTCCAACGAGTCTCAAGTTAGAAGACATCGAATACTGCTCGGGGCCCCACAAGAGAATAATCAAGAGCCTCACGAGCACTGCTTCTTTCTCCAGTGAGCATTGTCTGCATGATTTGATCGTGGACAGTTGTCGCCGGCATCCCGAAAGGCTTGCTGTCAGATCGTTCGACGGTGATTTGACATACGGTGACTTGGATAGTCTGTCTCTGCGCCTAGCATACCATCTGAATGACCTCGGCGTGCGGCCCGAGTCCTTTGTGCTCAGTAGCTTTCAGAAGTCAACGTGGGCCATCGTCGCTAGGTTGGCAATCCTCCGTGCAGGAGGAGCGTACATCTCGATCCATTCAAGCAACCCACCAGCATATCTCAACTCGGTGATCCAGCGCACCGGTGCCAAGATCATGTTGAGCGATCCCTTTTTTGCAGACAGATTCTACGACACCATCGAAACTGTTACTGTAGTCACCCACGAGTGGCTAGAAAGTCTTCCTCTGCCCACGCGGTCGGCCTCGTTGCCGACGGTTCTACCATCCAACGCTTGCACGGTATTATTCACCTCGGGCAGTACTGGCAAGCCCAAGGCCATTGTGCAAGAACACAAATCCTATGCATCTGCCATCAGAGATTATTCCAGCAACTTTGGCCTCAATGCAGACACCAGATATTTGCAGTATGATGACTACGCATTTGATATCAGCAATCTCGAGTTCCTTGTGCCTCTCATTCTGGGTGGTTGTTGCTGCGTGCCGGGGCCGATGAAGACTGTGCAAGATCTCGCCAAGAACATAAGCATACTCGACGCTAACATCGCCTTCCTCACTCCCACTGTGGCCATAAAAGCGAACCCTGATGCGATGCAAAGCTTGAAGATCCTGTGCATTGGCGGTGAGCCCTTGTCGAAAGATCTATTGAACAATTGGGCCGGAAGCTCGACGAAGCTGGTAAACCAGTTTGGAATGGGTGAAGCAGCAGTGTGTTGTGCATACAACGACAATGTCTATGACCCGAATAGCTCACCAGCTACAATTGGACGCTCCTCGAGTGGTGCAATCTGGATTGTTGATCCAACATGCCCGGCCAAGCTAATGCCAATTGGCGCGGTTGGCGAAATCGTGATCGAGGGACCTCATCTATCTAGGGGCTACCTTGATCAAGACCATCAAGCATCTGATCGTACAAAGCCCGCTGGATTCATGCAAGAGATTCCTCCGTGGCTAACGGAGCTTCATCCGAAACGACAGCTCACCCGGCTATATCTATCGGGAGACCTAGCGCGCTGGACTCACGATGGACGTATTGAGTACATCGGGCGCAAAGACACCATAGTGAAGCTTGATGGGTGTCGCATTGATGTGATCGAAGTCGAACATCTCTCGAGAAAATCACTTACATCCAAGGACGCCATCGTGGTGGATCTGCTCGGCGTTATCGATGGCAAAGAAGACCCTTGTCTAGCTGCGTTCTTGTACCTCAGTGATCATCCAAACAACTGTGAGGCAACCGAACTCTGTCTGAAAGATGCAAGCCAGGATAAGATCGCCATTCGAAAGGTCGCACAAATCAAGGAAGTCCTTGCCATCTCACTTCCGCCTTATATGATTCCGACCCTGTTTTTACTGGCAACAAAGGTTCCACGTACGCCTTCAAAAAAGACTGACCGTCGAATGATTCGCCTACTGGCATCAAAATTTTACGTGCAAGAGCGGAAATTGCGGAGTAGTCCAAAGTTGCGTTCCAGTGATTCGCAACTTCTCCCTCCTTAAGAGTCATCACTCAATCCTTTGGTACCGACATTGGAGATATGTGGGAGATAAATACGCACGAGCAACTTTGAACATTTTCAAAATGCTAAATATACATGTTAAAAAAATCAAAAATGACAATTGAAGATGAGTCCGGATTTTTGGCGCACTTTATACTGCTTCACGCTTCATCTTCGTCCAATTGCTCTGCGAATTTTGGCACAGGCGAGCCAAGAAAAGCCAGGGTCATGATCCCTGCGACAATTGATATACCACCTAGTAGAGTTAACACATAGAAAGGCAGAGGAATACGTATGTCTTACCGAGACAACACTGCAACTCGAAGTAGCCAAAATGTCCAATGATCAATTCCGCCAGCAGAGGACCAGTCATCAGTCCAGCCATCCAAGTCATGTTGGTGATAGATAAAGCACGGGAATATCCCCCGTTGGGACCGAAAACGCCAGGGTTTTCCGCCTCCAGTATATCAATAGCTTCTATAAAAATCGGTTGGCTTCCAGTGGATGACGGTCGTGGTATTGCACCTACCAGTTGCCTGCATCGTACCAACCCCGTTGAGTAGAGACAGAAGGCACCCTATCAGTGCCATACAAACAACGTACAGAGGCTGTGCCCAAAATTTGTCCGTTGCCCATTTGAACACTTTGCTACCTAGGATTCCCGAAAAAAGGAGGAACGGTGGTAAGCCAAGAAAGCCGACTGCTGTCGGGATCCGCGAGCCGAGTTTGTCTTTCATCCAGCCTACTGGAGCCGCCAATACCATGCCAGGCCCCTGAATCAATGCCAGCAGAAGCCCAACGTGAAGCGCTCCCCATCCAAATGCACTCCGGATATGCACGGCCAATGTGCTCTCAATGCAACCAATTAGCAAAGCAAAAACAAAAGCACAGAATACACCACTGGAGAATCTCGATTGGCGGAATATGAGTTCGTAGAAGAGCCATCCCTGCGCTTCTGGCGATGTCGAACCATTCGATTCATCATCGTTCGATTGAGTGGCCTGGACTTGTAACAAGGGTCTTGCTCCGGGTTTTGATCTCCTTGTTCGGGTTTGTCTTGCTTTTCTATCATGACCAGGCGCATCGTGATGTCGACCAGCAGGAACGCAGCTGGGCCCATCCAAGCGCACCAGTATCCTCCTAACCCGAATAAAACCCCCGCAAGAATAGGACCGCCAGTGGTTCCCGCAGCTGTGAGTGTGCTTGTCAATCCGGCAATTTTTCCCATGTGCTCGCTCCCAATATTCTCAGCCATGGTGGACATTCCCACGATCCATATTCCGTTGCTTGTTAGGCATTGGAAGAAGCGCCCGACAAACAGCCATATCACTGGGAAAATTATCAGTGCACGCACATCTGCGACATAGGTCAAAGAAAGACGTACGGTGGGTTGTGAGGGATAGGCATGCTGTACTGATCAAAGTCAATACGAGTAAAAGCAACAAGAGCGTCTTTTTACTCGAGATTGCATCGGCTATTGACCCAAATATTGGGCTAGAAATCACAGATATGAAAGCTCCTTCGGCCAGGAAAATCGACGTGAAGCGCTGTGTCAAAGACGGATCGAGACCAATTCGCTGTTCGAGGACAGTTGGCAACAATGGTAGCATGAAGGCGAACAGAAGCTCATCTGAGAGAATGGTATTCATTAATAGGAGCTCGATTTCAACGATGCAGTGATATTGTAACGGTGGCCACTTACCCGTGAAAATCGCAAGGCTCATGGTACTGACAATGAAACCATTCGACGATCGCCAGACATGACACCACGGCGCATGTTTCTCTACACGAGTTCGAATCATAGTACCAGGCTGCTCGTCAGGAGTTGCCTCGAAGCTCACATCAAGCCAGGATGGAACTCAATATGGAAGAGCGATGTCACCCTCTTCTGGTCAATTTGCACAGCTTTCGTCGAGAGAGCAGGTGCTCGGTCGGCGCGGTAAGCGTACTACGAAGTAAATTACCGATCAGCCCCCCCAGCAATTAGGGGATGTGAGATCGTCCCTTTTACCCGCCACTCAAGTGTTCAGCCCAGCCCAGCCTCCCGCGCTAATGTGCCAGGGGTATGTTTGGGCCCAACTAGATCTTCTGTCCACCAATGGGTTAGGTTTACCGTGTTATACGAACCTCAGCTACCGTCGATCCTTCAAGGGGCCTGCATGAGATCTGTTTGCACAGAGTAGCAAGTAAGAATTATTATAGGTTACAATACACAGACTGCTCCGTACAGTATCTGACCAGTGGATTAGAGCCACTGGAAGCCCCATCTGATTTATTGCCTTGTACTGTATATACCCAGCAAAGATTTCTCTACCTAATAACCCCTGGTTATATAAGCAGTCAGCTGTTTGGGTGATTTCAAGCGACATACACCCCCCCTAACTAGACTGCGGCACGATCCGCAATATCCGCGGATATCCAATAGATATTAAACAATACAAATATGCTAAGACTCGTGACCTTGAGGGGTGTGCATTATTATTATGTTTTCTTCAGTATTTTTCGTGCAAAAGCATTGTTATGATAAAATGATTATGATCTTGGTTTGTCTGTAGTTCAATTCAATTATATTTTCTTAGTAATATACATCATTTATAAATCTAGCTGGAAGCCATCTAGCAGCCTTAGCTGCTTTCGAATCCGCCCTAAACACTCTGGAATATTCTTATTGTGTAAAGGGCTGTAATAATATTAATTCAATAAGAGCTAGGTGTTATACGTTGCTAACTGGTCATGGTCAGTGGTCAAATAGTTAGTAAACATTACCATATCCTGAAAGAGCAGAAGTATTAATTACCAACAGACAGCTAGAATTAACATTGTTTGAGCACCACTAGTAATCCTTAAGTATTGACTTATAATTAAACTTTTGCTATACTAAGCCTTATATAGACTTAGATTATATGAAGAATATTGTAATGGTTACTAAGTTGTCAGGCTAGAGACCTGTGTCTCGGTAAGGATATTGGATAGTGGAGATCAGATTGGGTAGTTGATATACAGAGACTGATTCTTGAAGAAGGGCAGATATAAGCAAAGAGTTCAATGAGGGATTGAACTCTTTGCTTATATCTGCCCTGACCCACTTCTTTCTCCATATTAAAATTAACCCTAATTGCTTCAGTGGGGCTGGCTGAAGCTACCCTTATGGGATAGCCTTATCTCTCTTCAACATGTAGATTAATAAGGCAGAATGGGACTAACAGATCAACATAAGAGGAAGAATTACAGTGTAATTTCGCTGAACAAATGGTCCCAGATTAACGATATTATTTTTTTCCTAGATAGACCTAACTCTCACTACTGCAGCCTCGCCCATTCTATCAGATCTTAATGCCATCCATGGGAAGCCATGGAGCTGGCTTCCCGCGGCGTCGGAGTAGTACTAGTTTTCCACTGACTTGGACTAGTTTCCTGTGGCTGCGAACTTGGTTCTGCCAGCTTCGGACAGTCATTCTGCTGAATGGTTCGAATGCAGACCCTGTGGCCGATTTGCATGTTGTCGCAGGAGGGATGAATGGCAGGGTTTAATGTGAGAAAGGTGGTCAAATCAAGCCCTGGATGCATATTGACAACGTCGTTACAAGTCTCTGGAGGAGCTCGAAGTTGAGGCAAGTACCAAGCAATACCTGCATATGGTCAGCAAATAATTTAAATCAATGGTAGAGTCGTATTCCAAGGATCATTTACAGTCTCCCGCTTGTTGAGCTTCAAGCTCACCCGTCAGTATTGAGGGGTTCGCATTCACGGCGGCCGAAAAGATAAAGCCCAGCCCCACAAGAAAAGTTCGAATATTTCTCGTCATTATGTTCAGTCAGGAAATTGAAAGTTTAGAAGAGTGAATAGCAACAAGTAATGGCGTCTTAATAGTAAGCAAACGTGTGTTGAAATGTAACTCCTTTCTTGGGTCAGGACGAATACTTTATATAAGGTACTTGGGGTCACAACATGCCTTGCCGTCGTAGCATTCCATTGCACTGCTGGTGGCGCTAGACGGGTGCCAATTCCAGGATAATTAATTTGTAAATCAAGTATTGAGAACGGCGCTCGATAGACGCAACCGGTACAACGTAGGTTCCAATAGTATTTAGGCTGAGCGTCCTAGAGGCCGCTTTCATCACCCGCTGTCCAAAATTACTAGTGTTCCCCATAAAATTTTAGACCTGGGTGGTAGTATAGTAAGCCTCTTAGCGCTGTAACCTCGCTACCCTGCCACCCTCATCCGTTGAAGCTATTCCCCCCATATGAATTATTCGAAATTGACCATTCTTGGCGTTCAGCATGTAACCTAACAATAAGTAATGGGGTTGATATCTTATCCTAGCAATACACCGGCCACAACACTAACACACTGTTACTTGCAGTAACACTAAGTATCCTACAGTGTTAGTCAAACTATTCACACATGCAATACCTTCCCCTATCCATCTTAATACATATCACGAAGTATAGATACCAACTGGGGCAGTAGATTTAAGACGTTCAAGCAGCAGAAGCAGCAAGAATTAGAAGTATAAAGGGGAAGGGGGAGTAAGCAAGCGAGCGTTAAACGTAGAGGTAATTAGAGAAGAAGGCAGCGAACGGGACTTAAATGTAGCAGCCAGGTCCAAATTTATATGGGGAACGCTAGTAATTCTGGGACGCTGGTGTAACGGGCGGTCCCTTTTTCTGCCGGCCAAAACTGCCAGAAATACCATTGGAACCTACGTTGCACCGGTTGCGTCTATAGAGCACCGTAGTTGAGGTCGGCGAATGGGATAAAGGAGTCGGGGCAATTTCTCAACGCGACGTATTTAGTTCGAAACGCTACAATCCCTAGTTCGATATCCAAGAACTTACGTTGAAAAACCTCTTAATGTTGTTTGAAAACAGAAGAGGCATGTTGGATTAGTGTAAAAATGTGGCTAGCTATATTAAGTTCACGCATGCGGCATCCATGTAAGGTGAAGAAAGGATTTAAACCCTAAGGATATTTTAGGTGGACGCTTGCTATGGCTGGAATGGTGAATGCGACTATAGGAATGTGAGCTTAGCGGTCGGCACTAATGCTTATCCGTAAGATTCTTACGTATTCGCGTTCACATTCGTAATTTGCAAACCTCTACGAATATTCGTATTCGCAGTGTTGAGATAGGCACTTGGGGGTGTTGAGATAGGTAGTTGTAATGTTCTTATTGAGGTTACTATCAAAAGTGGGAACCCCGTCTATTTAAATGTCCATCGCTAGTCCTGCCATAAGCTTTGACCACTGCGATACTCAACAGGGGGTATTCGACTTGGATGTAGAGGTGCTAACAAGATGTAAGCTGTTATAGGTTACGAACTGGTATGGCCCGGGTTTCAAGTCCTAAACTGTTCGAAGCAAGGGGGCGAGTGCGGAATCGTTCACAGCCGGAATGGTGTGAGCCTTTGCTTTTATTCTCTAGTGGAAAAAAAGGTTCTGCCAGTGCATTTCTCTGTATCCTGATTCGTCCATTCTGCGTGTTCCCGTCAGAACAGTGCCTGTCGATTGAGCCACAGACCTACCACCTGTCAAACCCTCGCGCCTGAACGGGGCAAGTTCGGCAGATTTACGAGAGAGTCATCGATCAATAACATGTCAAATAGCAAGAAGACCCTGGTGGCCAGACAATAGTATACTAATTACAAAAACCAAGTTTCATTGCAGAGCCTTAAAGATGAGCACCTCAAAGGAGTTTTCCACTGTGTTGAGGTTTCGAGTGAAGCTACGCAGCTAGCCTATATGGCCAATGGTGATGTTGATACGTATCTCAGCAAGTACCGACCTTATCACCAGCTTCAGCATGGATAATTTTCTGAGATGGCTCGCACCCCTGGCTACGTCCACGAAAATCGGGTGCTCGTCGAGAATATCGAGTCGGAACTTTCTCCTGGATTCCCATTTATCTCTCAAGTTCTACGATTTTTCCGAGGCATCTCTCCTTTCACTGGGAACATATATGGATGTTGCGGATGATGACGGGCTCACTACTCAAGTTTGACATTGGTCTCCTTGGAGCAGTCATGTATGAGGTTGTGATCGGCACTAGGGGTGGCTATCTGCAGGTACCAAGAAGAGAATTGTTTCAGGATACACTTGCAGGTCCCAATTATTTACTAGGCTTGAAGGATGAGCGTACGTCAATTAGCTTTAATCTACGTCCCTATCCCAAGGGACCTGGTGCAGTCTATCCGATGCGGGATGTGTTTTGCTCCGGACACCAACTTCAAGTGAATCTGATAGACTATCTGAATCGGGGTTAGCCTGAATCGTCATGGATGGATCAATTCAGGACGAGGCAGGGGAAACTTGCATTGGACCTGAATATATATAAATTGTACCAGGGGATGCACATACATACTACGGGAACCGTCATGGGACCAAAGTTTGAGCGTGCCATGTATATTCTGACTGCGGAAAAGCATTTATTCTGGGCTTGGATAAATTCGGCCTTATTGTTGCCGGGTATATGTGCCTGTGGGTTCGTAGCTTCTCGGGATCTGATGTGATCCCGTTCGGCCTTCTAGATCACACAGCCCTCGAATGGATCACCCAATCCGATAAGGCTTTACCGCTATACATCAGATACTTCAGAACGGCTCCAATTTCGAAAGGTCTTTCCGACTACCCCATCAAGATGGATATGTT